ACTCACAGAGACGCTGCAGAACAAAACAGAACTGCCCCCTCAGGTTTCCTAGCTGGTAATCGCCAGATCTTTTGTCCTGCGGAGCGGCTGGTGGGTTTGAATCGCCAACCTGTCGGTTAGCAGCTGAGCGCTTAACCATTGCACGCCAGGGCTCCTTTCATTAGTCACTAAACAACAGAACCAAACCCACTGCTGTCGAGTCGATTCCGACTCAAAGCGACTCGACAGGACAGAGTAGAACTGCCCCACAGGGTTTCTAAGGAGCAGCTGGAGGATTCGAAACACCGACCTTTTGGTTAGCGGCTGAACGCTTATCCACTGTGCCGCCAGGGCTCCTCATTAGTCATTAGGGAGATGCAAATCAAAACCACAATGAGCTACCACCTCATTCCCATTAGAATGGCTATGATCCAAAAACCAGAAAATATTAGGTGTTGGTGAGAATGTGCAGAAACTGGAACTCTCATTCATTGCTGGTGGGAACGCAAAAGGGTACAGCCACTGTGGAACGGTTTGGCAGTTCATCAAAAAGTTAAATATAGAACTACCACATGACCCAGGAATCTCAATCCTCGCTGTGTACTGAAAAGATTGACAGCGGCAACGCAAACAGAACCCTTACGGCAATGTCCACTGCAGTATTAGCTGCAACAGCCAAAAGGTGGCTTGGCGTCTCTCTTCCCTCCTCTCTGCTTCTCTCACCTGTTGTTCCATCTCTTTTCTATCTCAAAAGAGATTGATTTAAGACACACCCTACACTAATCCTGCCTCATAAACACAACAAACACAACCCATTTCCAAATGGGATTATAACTACAGGCATGGAGGTTAGGATTTACAACACATATTTTTGGGGGACACAATTCAATCCATAACACACATGTATTCACAGAAGACACAATGACAGACACTTCTCAGACACAACCAAACACCTTGTGAGACTGGTTTTCTAGGTTTGAAGGCTTAGGACCTTAGTCTCATGGGAAAACTCAGTCAATTGGCATGGTACAATTCACAAAGTTCATGTGCTGCATCCTAGGGAAGTAAGTAGCATCTGGGGTCTTAAAAGCTTGCAAGCAGCCAATAGGTACAACTATTGGTCTCTACTCATCAGGAGCAAAAGAGAAAAAAGGAAACGAAAGTCTCAGAAGAAACTAGTCTACAGGGCTACTAGCCTATACGAGCCATGGACTCATCTACCCTGAGACCAGAAGAACTAGATGGTGCCCGGCTACCACTACCAACCATTCTGATCAGGGTCACAGTAGATGGACCCTGATAGAAGGGGAGAAAAATGCAGAACAAAACTCAAATTCTTAAAAAGGCCAGACTTACTGGACCAGTTGGGACCAGAGGACTCCCTGAGACTATCTCCCTAAGATACTCTTTAAACCTTGAACTGAAACTATCTCCTGAGATGACCTTTTAGTGAAATAACAGAGTGGCACACAAAGTAAAGGATATGATCTGTGAGAACGGAGCTACAGTAAAAAACCATCTATATGAGACCAAAAGGTCAACAATCACTCTAAAGCAATGATAAAACTTTGGGGCAGGGAAACTAGAGTACTGGAAACGGAACAACCAGAAGGCAATTAAAAAGAATGCTGACACATTGTGCACATTGTGAAAAATGTAACTAATGTCATGGAACAAATTGTAAAGAAATTATCAAATGGGAACTGTTATGGATTGAACTGTGTCCCCCCCAAAATATGTTATAAATCCTAACCTCTATGCCTGTGGTTATAATCCCATTTGAGAATGAGTTTTTCTGTTATATTAATGAGGCAGGATTAGCGTAGGATGTGTCCTGAGTTAATCTCTTACAAGAGATAAAAAGAGCAGGTTAAGTAAGCAGAGATGGGGTAAGATGGATGCCAAGGCACATGGAGATCTCCAAGGAACCAGGAAGAAGCAGCTGAAGAGAAAAGGACCTTCCTCCAGAGCCCAGAGAGAGAGAAAGCCTTCCTCTAGAGCCAGCGCTCTGAGTTCGGACTGCTAGCCTCCTAAACTGTGGAAAAGAAACAAATTTGTTTGTTAAAGCCATCCACTTGTGGTATTTCTGTTCTACCAGCACTAGAGAACAAAGACGGGAACCTAATCTACTGTGTAAGTTTTCACCGAAAACACAGTAAAATACTGTTTTTTTTTTTTTTAAAAGGCAGGATGAAAAACATATACATTAAAATACCTACAGTATGTATTACTTTTGAAATTAGAAGAAACACAAAAGGTCCTTAAAAAGACAGAGTGACTGGGGCTGGCCGATGACTCCAGGACTACCCCAAAGATTTGTAAAGCTTTTGAGAACTTGGACTGAGGTCCCCCCACCCAATCCTTCCCTTACAGGTCAATTGAAGTGGCAGACAGGGAAATACATGTACAAGGGAGGAGAGAAGAGAGCGGAAGAAAGAACGCCTACGGCACTCCTCCGAGTCCACGGAGGCAAATGTTGAACTACTTACAGCCAGGCCAGGGCTGTCACTGCCTATATGGCATGCTGGGCCCTGCGTATTTACCTGATTCATCTACAAACTGCTGTCTCTTTAGCCACAGGGCTCCTGGGTTCAGCCAAATCCCCAGAAAGTATTTTACTTCACCAGGAGGTATTTCAAATCTAGAATTATCTTCTTTCTTCCAAGTAATTATAAAGCCATCCTACAATTATAAAGTAAAGCCATCGGAGGAGCCGACTCGACAGTGACCAACAACACCGTGACCTACGTGCTGACAACGATACTTCACAGATGGGGAAACAGTCGAAGACCGGGAACACAGGACAGTTTCTGAAAACCAGCTTTTGCTCTTCACTGAAATGCACTCTAAATAAAAAGTAAATATTTAATAAGAGTTGTTCAATGCGCCTACATTTAGGAGGTTATTACAGGCGTCTTTATGACGAGCTTGATGCAAGATGCGGAACAAGGGTCACCACGGTCAGGACTATTTTGGTTTGGGGCGGAGGAGAGGGAGGGGGCGAACTCTGCTAGGCAGTGGATGGGCCACTGGTGGGGGGGTGCGAGGTCTTTGGGTGGCCTAGCTCCCCAGGGTGCACCCTTACTACGGCTGCAAGTTCCCACAGACCAGAGTTTGCTGGGACCCACACAAGGTCAGAAAAATTACTGGACCTTTGTTCACTGAAAGGGGACAGGAAGGTAAACACAGGCCGGCCATAGTTTTCCTTCAACAATCGGGAAGTCTTTTTTAAACAAGACAACAATGTCTCAGGGTGAAACTTGCAGCAATTCAATGACAAAACCACACGTTGCCAGCGGGTGATTTTTAACAATCCTGGTCCCCTAGACTGACCTGCCAAACTGCAGGTGGCCCCACACTGACCCGGGGGGATTTCTGGGAACCCGCAAAGGGGGTGGTCACAAAAGGACGTTGCCTGACAGGAGGCCAGGACGTGGCAAGTTCAGAGACGAGAACACAAGCCTGTGAGTCCATGGCCCCACCCAGAAGCTGTGCCAGGAAATTGCCAGCAGGAAGCTGGTCAGCCGAGGACAGCAGCCCTCCCTGCCCAGAAGGCACCTCCATGGCCACCCGGCTCTAGGCTGCCACCCTCGGCCCCAGCCCATCACGACCTCAGGAGCAGACACACTGGGCTTGCCCACTCTGGCCTTGGTCCCCGGCTCCTGAAGTGTCTCTCAGGACACTGGCTGACCACTCTGTGAGCCACTCTGCCACCACACACACACCTTGTTCCCCAGACGCTGCGTGGCTGGGACGCCCTGTTCCCCTGTGGTGCAGCAACCTGACAGGGGCTCCCACACACCGAGGGTCTTCTAACACTCCCCAGACCACAACACGGAGGTCCAGCCACTCGGCGTCTGTCCTGTGGCCTTCACTGTACAGCTGTCTCCCTCTGAACTCACTCATGTTGCTCACCCCATGAACAGACTCGCCCTCTTCTGGAAGAGCCCACGCCCAGCTCCTCCAAGGCTGGCAATGGGGGTGCAGACGGCGCTGGGCCTTCAATGCCTGGCTCTTGACCCCCGAGGTGCCCCCTCCCCTCAGGATCCCCTGCCAATAAGTGGGTTCCTGAACGGCCTCACACAGCCCTTTCTCTAAACCTGCAGCCCAGCTGAAGCCAGGTTGAGAAACTCCAGCAAGACTTTCCAGAGGCTCAGTGGTAACAAGGTAAGGACAGAGGGTGGCATGGTTCTGGGTGGTTGTGATGGGACTGCGTGCTGAGGTCATTCCCCGGGGCTCACAGGTCTGTCCCATCCTAGCTCTCAGCCTGCTACCATATGCGCGCCACCCTAGCCCCCCGCCCCAGCCCCAGGACTACCAGACACCTCTCCTCTGAGATGTGGACCCCAAAGAGGGATGAGGAGACAGGAAATTCCCCTCCCACCTGCACCTTCCATAAGCACAGTGCTCTGTGCTCCCTGGGAGACTGACGCTAACGGTCGCTGCTTGTCTCTGCTTCCGCCTGCCCACAGGCTGAGACGTCTCCCTCAATGCATGTTTGCTAAGCACCTGCCACGGCCAGACCCGTGCTGGGCACACTGCGCACAGCATCTCATTTAAGCCTCACGACAGCCTTATGAGGCAGGTATTCCTCACCCTCTTTACAGAGGAGCAGACTGAGGCCAAAAGCGGCACAAAGGACTCAGTCTCACAGCTAAGGAGTGGTTAGTGTTACACAGGTGCCTCGGCTGTCCACTTCCAGGGCAGTGGGAGCACAGTGTCCTAGACTCTGTCTTCACACTGTGTGGGAAAACACTCAGCCACGACACCGCTTTGGGAAGAGAGCTTGCCGGGTAACTCTGGGGTCTCCTCACATGTAAGGCCTGAACAATGAATCCTGTCTACCTGACTCACAGAGGCGGATGAGAGCAGCAGAGAATGTTCACTGACGTGTATCTGGGAAGAGTAAAGGCCCATCTGGAGGAAACGCATTCACGCTGTAGGCGTGAGGGACAGAGCGACCGCTCTCCTCAGACGCCCCATCCGACGCCTGCGTCCCCCTCAAGCCCATCTCTCCTTACCTGACGGCTGCTTCCTCTGCTCCTCGAACAGATCAGCTGAGCTTATGGAGGAACTGGCCGAAAGCCTCTCCAGCCGAGCCCTGGTTTCATACTAGGGAAGACAAGGAGAAGGAAACACTGTGCTCCAAATGCCGAGTGCGGTTCTGCCAAGAGGATCACTGAAGGGCCGTGCCTGGAATGTGCTTGTCCCCCTAGCCTGCTGTCTCCGACAGTGGCGGGGGCCACCCCCTCGCAGGGCCCTGGGGTGGCGGCAAGCACCAACAGAGGCCCTGCCTTCACGAAGCTCACGTCTGCCCAGGGAGGCAGACATGGGCAGACAGACAGACAGACACTCAGCATCATGGCCAACAATAGAGTCAGTGCCAGGGAGAAGCCAGAGTAGGGGTGGAGAAAGACACCTCTATCGTGGCGCACCTCAATTACAGCTGGCAGGCAAGGCTGCTCCAAGAAGCTCCCTCCCAATACCTGAACTGAACCGAGCCTGAACGTCATCAACTTTAAAACAAGGCATATTTTAGGACAACATCCGATTAGGTGTGTGTCAGATTCCTGTCCTCTGCAAGGGTGCTGCCCGCCTCCGGAAACGGAAGTGCTTTCTTTCCTATTTAAGTCCTGGGCACTGTTAAACTTTCTTAAGATTCAAAATCAGTTTGTGGAGAGAGGGAGCTTAAAGCTGACTCCTGTGATGTTCAATTTAAGCTACGTTTTGGGTATCCTCTGAAATCCAGGACACCTGTCTCCTTAGAATACCCCAGAATTTTGGGGGGGATGGTCCTCTGCTCTTTTTCCTCCTCACTGGCAGGTGGCAGGCCCTCACTGCCTCTCCGTGGCCTCCTGTGGAGAGCACCCAGGCCTCCATTCATCGGGTCCCTGCTGTGCCCTCACACCATGACAGGCATGACAGGAGGAGGGGAGACTGCCACTCCCCAGGCTCCCGGCCTCGCAGGGGGCAGGAGAGAGCCGTGCATTAGCCCATGGCACGGCACACGGTGGTGTGGCGTAAGGTGGTGTGGTAAGCTCGATGCTTGGCTTCATGTGAACTACCCTTGGGAACGGATAACAAGACTCCCCAGATGATGTCTGAACAGAACTGAAGAAACAAAAGAGGCATACCGCCTTCTGGAGCAGGATGGATAAAGGCAGAGAGGAACAAGAAAGGCACGGAAAACTCCAAGGGTTCAATCTGGTTGGAAGATAAAAACGAGGAGGAGTGTGGCGCGGGTGCCTTTGTTAAGACGGGCCTTGCTCGAGTTCTGGACTTTGTCCTGTTGGCCCTCGGGGTGGGGGGCACACGGCAGGATGAGCACAATCACACACGTGCTTTACAAAGACTGACCCACTGACTCCACGTGCAGCTGGTGGATGCAGACGGTGTGCCGGACATGAGCTGGACAGAGACAGGGCCGTGAATGAGTGCCAGTCACTGCCACTGAAGACAGACACACGCCAAGTATGGATTCTGAAGTGTCACGATGTTCCCGAGGGCAGCCGGGGAGAAGAGCAGAGACACAAAGATGGAGAACCCCTCTCCCCAGGGGGCTGAGAAAGGCCTCACCACGCTGAATGGAGAAATGTGGGGTGGGGGTGGGGAAGGCTGTCCCAGTACAGGGAAGGACATATGCCAGGCCGGGGGCCTGGAAGGAGGCAGGGGTGTGTGCTGAAGGTGGGCAGGGCCGAAGAAGGAGACAGGTAGGGAGGTCAGTGGAGTAGCCTGCAGCAGAACCCTGCAGTGAGGCTGAGGGGCGGGGAGGCATGCCGGGGAGGGAGCATCCATCACAGGAGATTGCGTGGGCTCATACCCTGGTTCTGTCACTTTCTGTCTGCGTAAACTCAGCAAGTAGCTTATTGTCTCATCATCTGTAAAATGGGGATAATAATAAGACCTGTCTTCCGGGGCTACTGTGAGGATTACCATGAGTTAATAAATGCAGAGCACTTAGAACAGTGCCTGGCACAGTGCGAGTCCATGTAAGAGTTAATGTTATTATTATTAGAACCCGAAAAGAGAGAAATTAAGCCAAGGGTAGAGAACGCCTCAAGCAGGGACTAGTGAGTACATCAGAGGCTATGGAGAGATGCAGGGAGATGAAGACCAGGGAATGCACTGGATTTGGGAACTGACTGGTCCCTGGTAAGCCCACCCAGGCAGCCTCAGGGGGCTCTGGGATGGACGGTGGGAGGTGAGGACAAGGAAACAAGGTACTCTGAGAACTCTCCTGAGGAACCTGGCTGGGAAAGGGATCAGAACGAGAGGTGGCTCAGAGGCTCATGGTGGGTTTCACGTGTTGGTTTTTTTAATAGGGGAGATTATTTGGGTGGTGCATAAAAAGCCAGAAGAAAGGGAGGGAACAGCTGACCCCACAAGGTTCTGGTGCAGGAGAACTGAGGGGCTGAGACTGGGCAGTGGTGTGGGACCTGCCTTCAGCAGGAGCTGGAGCACCCTTTCCTAGGCAGGGGAAGGGGGCGGGCAGTCCCTGCTGCAGAGTGCAGGCGTGCGGGTGGAGGGGACGACTCTAAATACCCTTGAAATGATGGTGAATGTTCTACAGCTGCAAACAAAATCAGTAAACTTCAGGGAACAATTCTCTGACTAGTTCAAGAAGCCCAGCAATAGCTCTTATCTCTAAGAGCTCACGTAAGCAAATCAGCACTTCCAATGAGAGGCAGGAGCTCTGGTGGCGCAGTGGTTAACAGCTCGGCTGCTAACCAAAAGGTCAGCAGTTTGAATCCACCAGCGGCTCCTTGGAAACCCTATGGGGCAGTTCCACTCCATCCTATAGTTGCTATGAGTTAGAATTGACTCGATGGTAATGGGTAACAGGTAATGAGAGGGAAAGTCCCCCTTCCGCTTCCATCTGAGTCCTCCTGCTAAACAAGACTCCATTAAGATGAGCTCATTAACATATCTGAGAAAAGAGGCAGCAACCTGAAAATAAATACATCTACTCCCGAAAAACATGTTTACATAGTTCATTTAACTATGGTTAAAAATCATTAAACAATAAATTATAGCTGTATCAAAAGTTACCTAAAATTCACTCGAAAGATAGCGTGTGAATGGCTAACCGAACACTGTGGGAGCAATAAGAGAAATGTGGGCACAGTCCCTGCTTCCAGCCACTCCTCCAGTTGAGGCAGCAAGCCCAGGCAGCTGGTCACACAGACCTCGTCTGAGGCCTGGCCCCCCAGGAGCAGCCTTTCCTTGGTTGGTGCATCACCTCCTCCCACGGCCCCTCCACCCCCGTGCGGTGCTTGCTTCCTGCTCTGCGGGGACCCACGTGGAACTCTTACGTCAGCTTGCGCTTGTCTTCCAAAGTACATATCTGAAGAGATCGCTTTGACATTGCCAAACTTCTTCTGTGCCTCATCTGTGTTTTCAACTGGCTCATAGTCTGGCTTGCGGCGCGCAGTGGGTCTACAAGTGAAAACAGCCAAAATGGGTTTAATTGATTTGAGGCAAGGCAAATGCTCTTCTCATTTATAGTGTAAACATGCGCCATTTTGTTTTTTAAAAAAATTGACAGCAGTAATTTTGCAAAAGAATTTAAGGGCACTTTCAAAAGCCTGAATAGTCTAATAAAAAAAATAAATGGCCAAAACATAACATTTAAAGGAATTTTCCTGTTTCAAATGGGTCTGTTATTTTAAATTTCAGCTCCACGGTCACTTAGTAAGTACTGAATACACATTTGTAATATAGCTAGGACATGGCTCTGCATCACGTAGGACATAAAATGAGTAGGGCGACCATAAATCCCAGTTACCTGGGACAATGCCAGGCTACACCTGTTGTCCCAATGTATTAGTGGTACCTCCTTACACTTTCAAAGTTCCCTGGTTTGGACAATAAATTATACAGTTGTTCACGGTGCTTACAATCTAGTTGATCCCATTTAGATAACATTTCCTAGCTAGGGATGCACATCATATCCTGTGGAACTTTTCAAAAATGGCACATTCAGTTTTTGCTTAGGGTGTGGAAAGAATGTTCCTCCACACCTACAAGAAAAACATGCCAAATAATCTGCAAAATCACAAATTTTCTTGAATCTGATCAGAATGCTGAGGTTGCAGGCCAGACCAACAGCCCAAAATCTAAGGAAAGAAAGGCACCTCCGAGGAGAGACGGGATGTGGGCACTTGCTTACCAGGGGTAGACGCCGGACTTCATTCAAGCTGGTTAAGAATTCAGCTAAAAGTTTAAGTAATGGCTAAAGGCCAAGTATGGACTACTGTGAGGGGATATCACCACTGGGGGCCTCAGACACAGGGAAATTCTCACTTACATGCAAGCTTTCCCCACAGTGTAGGCCAGGGAGAAGGGAACAGTAGCTGCTATGGGCACAGAGAAGACCCACTGTGGCTGGAGGAAGGAGGAAACAGGGAGGAAACAAACAAACCTCTACTCATGGAGGAAAGGAAGGAATAAGTCCTGGGCCCAGACCATCAAAGGTCTCCGGGGGTACTGGGGGAAATCGCTCCCCCTCACTCCCAAAATCAAAGGACACAGGGTTTGCCCAAGACTAAGTCTAAATGAGAAAAAAGAGAATACTTGCACCGCCATCACCACCAAGACAACAAGCAATAAGTAACAGCAATCTATGAGTAGGGAATGGTCAAGAGTATAGAAAGAAACCTTCTCTGTGGTACAGGAGCAAAGGGAAGACCTTAAACCGAGGGCAAGCCACAGATTAAGAAAAACTCTCTGGCAAACTAGCCCTAACCAAACACAAGGAATACTAGAGGGATTTAAGGCCCGTACTGAGTCCAACCACTGCAACAACAAAACCCAAACCCAGCTTAATTCCTGACTAGACTGACTCAACCTCCCTACACTAAAGATCTAGGAAAAGACAAGCGTGCCAATTTTCAGGCATACGTATTATTTACATCAGTCTCTTCCTACCTGCGAGATGGATTGATACAGCGGCTACAACAATGGGCTCAAGCATAACAATTGTGAGGATGGTGCAGGAAAGGGAGGTGTTTCATTCTGTTGTACATAGGGTTGCTATGAGTTGGAACTGAATCGACAGCACCTAACAACCACTACTGACCTATATAAGATGCTGCTTTTAGAAAAAATTACAAAGCATGCAAAAAAAAGCAGGGAAAAACAACACATGGTCAAAAGTCAACTAAGATATGACATGGATATTGGAACTGCCAGACAGGGAATTTAAAATAATTATAATTAATATGTTAAAACATCTAGTGGAAAAGGTGAACAACATGCATGGTCAAAGGGGTAATTTCAGCAGAGAGATGGAAATTATAATAAAGAATCCAATGGAAATACTAGAAACAAAAAAACATGGTAGCAGAGATAAAGGATGCCTTCAAGGGACTCATCAGTACACTCAGCACACTGAGGAAAGAATCAATGAACTTGAAAATAAATAAATAAAATTATGCAAACTGAAACACAAAGAGAAATAAAGAGTGAAAAACAACAATAAAAACAGAACATAACATCCAAGAGTGATGGGTCAAATATCAAATGGCATAACATAAGTATAACTGGAATCCCAGAGGGAGATGAGAGAGAATGGGGCAGAAGAAACATTTGAAGAAATAATGGCCGAGAACTTCCCAAAATCAATGGCAGCCACATATCCAAAGAGCTCAAAGAACACCAAGCAAGATAAATACTAGTCTCCTGTGATACCTCCCTCCCCCACAAGACATACCATATTCAAACTGCTGGAAGTCAAAGACAAAGAAAATCTTGACAGCAAGCAGAGGAGGAAAAAAAAAAAGATACATTACATAGAAAGGAACAAAGTTAAGAATTACAGCAGACTTATTGTTAGAAACTACGCAAACCAGAAGAAAAAGGGGCAACATCTTTAAAATGCAGAAAGATAAACTGTTAACCCAGAATTCAATACGCAGTGAAAATATCTTTAAAAAATGAAGGAAAAATAAAGACTTTTTCAGGTAAACCAAAACTGAGAGAATTCATTGCCAATGGACCTCCACTACAAGGAAGTTCTTCAAGTATAAGGAATATGATATCAGATAGAAACTTTGATCTACACAAAGAAATGAAAAGCACTGGAAATGGCATAAATGAAGATAAATAAGTTATTTTTCTGACTTTTAATTCCTCTAAAAGATATCTAACACAAAAATAGCAGCAACATATTCTGTGTTATAGTACATACAAAAGTAAAATGCACCCTGAGAGTATGGCCCCTGGACACCCTTACAGCTCAGTAATGAAGTCACTCCTGAGGTTCACCCTTCAGCCAAAGATTAGACAGGCCCATAAAACAAAATGAGACTAAACGGGCACACCAGCCCAGGGACAAGGACGAGAAGGCAGGAGGAGACAGGAAAGCTAGTAATGAGGAATCCAATATCAAGAAGGGGAGATTATTGACATGTTGTGGGGTTGCCAACCAGTGTCACAAAACAATAATGTATTGTTTAATGAGAAACTTGTTTGCTCTGTGAATCTTCATCTAAAGTACAAAAAAAAAAAAAGTTAAAAACAAAATGTATGACAACATTAACACAAAAATGGGAGAGAAGAATTGGGAGTACACTGTTGTAAGATCCTTACACTGCATATGAAGTGGAATATTATTACTTGAAAGGAGATTTTAATAAGTCAAAATATATATTGTAAATCCAAGGGCAACCACTGAAAAATTTTTTAAAAGTATATAAATAATAAGCCAATAGTGGAGATAAGTGGAATTATAAATAATACTCAATTCAAAAGAAGGCAGACTGGGAGAAAAAAGTGGCAAAACATCTATCTGATAAAGTACTTGGATCCAGAATATATAAAGAACTCTCAAAACTCAATAATAATAATAGTAATAATAATAATAAGGGAACAAAAAATCCAATAAAAAATGGGAAAAGAACTCTTCACCAAAGAAGGCATACAGATGACAAGAAAAGCTTATGAAAAGATGCTCAACATAATTAGTCATTAGGAAAATGCAAATTTAAACCATGAGATACAATCATGAGATACATGATTGTGGTACAACTACACACTTCTTAGGATGGCTAAATTTTTTTTAAAACTGACAATACCAAGTGCTAGTGAGGCTGTGCAGCAACTGGAACTCCATACGTTGCTGGTGGGAATGCAAAATGCCACAGCTACTTTGGAAAACAGTTTGGCAGCTTCCCATAAAGTTAAACATATACAAACCAGCAATCACACTCCTAGGTATTTACTCAAGTGAAAGAACACTTATGTTTACACAAAACCCTGTATATTAATATTTATAATGACTTTATTCATAATCCCTCCAAAACTGGAGACAACCCAGATGTCCTTCAGCAGGTAAATGGATAAACTCACCCATAAAAAGAAATGAACACAACGACATGGATGAATCTCAAATGCACTACGAAAAGTTCAAAAAGCCCAAACTCAAAAGGCCACTTAATGTATGATTCCATCTATATGACATTCAGGAAAAGGTAAAATTCTAAGACCAGAAAACAGACCAGTGGTTGCCAGGAGCTGGGGCTGGGGTCCAGGGTATTGACTACAAAGGGGCACAGGGAAGTTTAGGGGTGATGGAACTATTCTGTATCTTGGTTTTGGTGGCAGTTACTCAATTGTGTATGTCTGTCAAAACTTGCACTATTGTAATCTGAAAAATAGGCATTTTACTCTATGTGAATAATAACTTAAAACAGGGAGAGTAGGTTAAACCTCCACCGGCCTGGACAACTGAGCTGCTCTGGAGAATCACTTGTACCCACAGCCAAAGCATAACCTTGATTATATCCCACCTCAATTTAGAGACCATCTCAAGAACAGATTTGACGTATTGAACACTAACGACCGACGACCAGACAAGTTGTGGGATGACATCAAAGACATCATAAACGAAGAAAGCAAGAGGTCATTAAAAAGACAGGAAAGAAGGAAAAGACCAAAATGGATGTCAAAAGAGACTCTGAAAGTTGCTCTTGAACGTCAAGTAGCTAAAGCTAACAGACTTGATGAAGTCAAAGAGCTGAACAGAAGATTTCAAAGGGTGGCTCAAGAAGACAAAGTATTATAATGAAATGTTCAAAGACCTGGAGTTAGAAAAACAAAAGGGAAGAACATGCTCGGCATTTCCCAAGCTGAAAGAAACTGAAGAAAAAATTCAAGCTTCGAGTTGCAATACTGAAGGATTCTGTGGGCAAAATACTGAACAACACAAGAAGCATCAAAAGAAGATGGAAGGAATATACAGAGTCACTGTACCAAAAAGAATTGGTCAACGTCCAACCATTTCAGGAGTTAGCATATGATCAAGAACCGATGGTACTGAAGGAAGAGGTCCAAGCTGCACTGAAGGCATTGGTGAAGAACAAGGTTCCAGGAATCTCCAGTTGAGATATTTTGACAAACAGATGCCGTGTTGGAAGCACTCACTCATCTATGCCAAGAAATCTGGAAGACAGCTACCTGGCCAACTGACTGGAAGAGATCCATATTTGTGCCCATTCCAAAGAAAGGTGATCCAAGAGAATGCAGAAATTATCAAACAATATCATTAATATCACACACAAGTAAAATTTTGCCGAAGAAAATTCAAAAACGGATGCAGCAGTACATCGACAGGGAACTGCCAGATTCAAGCCTGATTCAGAAGAGGACATGGAATGAGGGATATCACTGCTGATGTCAGATGGATCTTGGTTGATAGCAAAGAATACCAGAAAGATGTTTATCTGTGCTTTATTGACTATGCAAAGGCGTTCAACTGTGTGAATCATAAGAATTATGGGTAACATTGCAAAGAATAGGAATTCCAGAACACCTAATTGTGCTCATGCAGAACCTGTACATAGGCCAAGAGGCAGTTGTTTGAACAGAACAAGGGGATACTGGGTGGTTTAAAATCAGAAAAGGTGTGTGTCAGGGTTGTATCCTTTTACTATACTTATTCAATCTGTACGCTGAGCAAATAATCGGAGAAGCTGGACTATATGAAGAACGGGGAATCAGGATTGGAGGAAGACTCGTCAAGAACCTGCAATATGCAAATTACACAGCTTTGCTTGCTGAAAGGGAAGAGGACTTGAAGCACTTACTGATGAAGATCAAAGACCACAGCCTTCACTATGAATTACACCTCAACATAAAGAAAACAAAAATTCTCTCAACTGCCTGTAAGCAACATCATGATAAATGGAGAAAAATTGAAGTTGCCAAGGATTTCATTTTACTTGGATCCACAATCAATGCCCATGGAAGCGGAAGTCAAGAAATCAAACCACATATTATATTGGGCAAATCTGCTACAAAGGACCTCTTTCAAGTGTTAAAAACAAAGATGTCACTTTGAAGACTAAGGTGCACCTGACCCAAGCTATGATGTTTTCAATCACCTCATATGCACACGAAAGCTGAACAACGAATAAGGAAGACGGAGGAAGAATTGAAACTTTTGAATTACGGTGTTGGCAAAGAACACTGAATATACCGTGGACTGCCAGAAACACGAACAAATCTGTCTTGGAAGAAGTACAGCCAGAATGCTCCTTAGAAGCAAGGATAGCGAGACTTCGTCTCACATACTTTGGACATGTTATCAGGAGGGACCAGTCCCTGGAGAAGGAAATCATGCTTGGTAAAGCAGAAGATCAGCACAAAAGAGGAAGACCTCAACAAGATGGACTGACACAGTGGCTGCAACAATGGGCTCAAACACAGCAACGATAGTGAGGATGGGACAGGACTGGGCAGTGTTTAGTTCTGTTGTACACAGGGTGACTATGAGTCAGAACTGACTCCATGGCACCCAACAACAGCGACAGAATAAACTAGTCTACAGCGCTAACAGCCTGTACAAGCCATGGTCTCATCTATCCTGAGACCAGAAGAATTAGATGGTGCCTGGCTACCACTACCAACCGTTTTGATCAGGGTCACAATAGATGGAACCTGACCAAACAGTAGAAAAACATGGAACAGAACTCAAATTCTTAAAAAGTCCAGACTTACTGGACCAGTTGAGACTAGAGGACTCACTGAGACTATCACTCTGAGAGACTATTTAAATCTTGAACTGAAACTAATCCCTGAGGTCACCTTTTAGTGAAATAACCAATCAGTACACAAAATAAAAGATATTACCCTTGAGTATGGTGCACCAGTAAAAAACCATCTATATGAGACCAAAAGGTCAATAATCACTCTAAAGCAAAGATAAGAAGATAAGGGGACAGGGAAATTAGAATATTAGAAATGCAACAACCAGAATGCAATTAAAGAGAAATGCTGACACTTTGTGAAAAATGTAACTAATGTCACTAGACAATCTGTGTAGAAATTGTCAAACGGGAACCTAATTTGCTGTGTAAACTTTCACCAAAAACATAATAAAATATTATTTAAAAAAAAACAAAAAATGGGGGGTGGGGTGAGTGACACATTCCTGGTCTTGGCCACCCGTGTCCCATGGAATTAGCCTCTCCAGGGAAAGGCCCATGCATCCATGTTTTTTCAAAGGTCCCCAGGTGATTGTGATGTATACCCTCTGATTTAGATACATGCGTATAAAATAAAAAGAATATTCTTCAATTAGTACAACAAAATCATTTACTAGTCTTAGAAAGGTTTTCATGTCACACGTCAGTAATTTTTTTGTAGAGATGCATAGATTGACTGTTTACAACCCCCTAGTTTCGCTGTTCATACCTGTCTGAATAGCCTGTGGTTTTCAGAATTGTATCAGTATCCTTGATGGCCTCTTTTTTCCAATAGGAATCTGAACTGTCATCCCAGCTGGAAAAAGAACTGCTCCGTAACTCCATTGGCTCATCAAAGTACCTGCATGAAAAAGAGTAGGAAAATGATGGTGGAGAACTTCACGGATGTTCACCCATATCAGTTCTCCTCCACTTCTGGGTACGCGGGAACTGCACTTCCCTGGCCCGTTGAAGTTAGAGGTGGCCACATGACTAAAACTGGCCAATGAAACAGGAGCAGAAACATGGCATGTCATTTCCAAAGCCTTTAAAGTACTAGTGCTCAACTCACCCAGCCCTCTCATCCCTTGCTACATGGAACGGGTCATGTTTTCCAGATGGTACAGCCTCATGTAGGTTAAACCTCCACCAGCCTATGAAACTGAGGTGCCACACGGAGGAAAGGTGCTCTGGACAATCACCTGTACCCACAGCAGACTTTATGTGAGCAAGAAATAAACAGTTGCTGTGTGAAACCTTTGAGATTTGGGCCTAACCTAGCCTATCTGGGCAACATGGGACATCTTCAAGTGCTCTCCAACACAGATTTACACGTTTCTTTTTTTCAGGTCTAATTCTGCCTCATTGTTGTTGTTGGGTGCCAGCAAGTTGATTCCGACTCATAGTGACCCTACATGACAGAGCAGAACTGCCCCACAGGGTTTCCTAGGTAATCACAAACAATGCTGCTGGGCCTGGGGAGCCGACCCCATTCAAGGAGCTTACTGCTGACAAGCTGTTCCATGTTAAGCATGGCTTAAGGCATCAATCATAACAATAACCACCATTTAATGTAAATGATGCTTATTAACGTCCTCATGGAGTCAGATACAAAGGGACAGATTATTGATCACTGGACCATTCTGCAGACGCTCCTTCAGTCTGGAGCTTGAAGTAACTAGACTGAGCAGAGGGGATGCTGGCCTGCTGGTCGGTTCACCCTTCATCAGCTGAGCATCACTGAGCAGGGTGTTAACCCAGAGAGCAGAATGCAACGACCCCTTTCAGTCCTGCACGGTTAGAGAAAAACCCTTGACCGAGAGCAGCAGGGATTGCGGGGTCTAGGACAGAGATTGGTAGGTGAGGTGGAAGTGCCAGGCGCCTTAATAAAAAACGATCATGCTGTCTTAGAATTCTTGACAAGTCAGGGTAGGAAAACCAGCAGGCCAGCCATGTACTCCTCATAGGCAGGTTTCAAGTTGGGAGGAGAGAGGTGTACTCCAGGGTTTAAGAATGAGGAAAGGAAAAATGAAGAAAGTCAAGATGCGTGGAGATGGAAGCAGGGAGGCCGCGAGCTCTGGTGTGCTAAGAAGTCACACGACAGAAGGGAAGTCCAGGCAGCCGAAGGGCCTGTAGCCAGAGACGCATGTAAGAGGGCAGCAGAACCTGGAAGGACAGGCCAGGGACCCAGTGAGCTAAGATCTGGAAAAGAAAATCTTAAGAACAAATATACTCTTTTTCCTGTCAGAAAAAAAACGGGGGTGGGGGTGGGGAAGGGGCAAAGGGCCATACCTGCTGTTTGAAGCCGATGATGTGATCTCATATGGGTAATTGAGAGGAGGCAGAATTTCTAAATGTGGTTTCTGCCTTCTCTGGCACAAAGTCATTAAGAACAAATCTCATTACACGTGCCTTCTCTCCCCGGGAAGGAAAAGGCAGTGAACAAGGTGTATCTGGATTCCAGCTAGAAGCTGATCAGGCCAGTCATGCCTCTCAGCGGCTGACGGCGACCAGTGCTGCACACTGGCTCGACCTGAAGGAACAGAGACAACCCAGACCCTGTTCAGAGAAAAGAGACCAGGATGACGAAGGGGTGCGAAGTCACGTCAGAGGAGGAAGGCTTGAAAGGTGTGGGACGCATGCTGGACTGGAAAGTTATCTTCAAATACTTGAAGAACTTATTTGCAGGCGCTCAAGGGAAAGAACCAATTTAGAGAGGAATTCGAAAAATATTTAATAAGCGCCCGTCAGGGCCAGGCCCTCAGCTAGGTGAAGACACAGGCCAGGAAGACACGTTCAGCTCCCGCCCTCATGGGGCCTGCACAAAGGGAGGCTGACTGGAGCTCAGAACCCAGGGAGACGTACGGGTATAAGGCGGCATTATGTCACAGAGCTGCTGGGGACTGAACAGGCTGCCCTGATGAGAAGGAGGGGTGTAAGCAGACGCTGGGTGGCCACTTGGGAGGGCATGGAGTAGGGATGCAAGCATGGATGCTGGCTGGACTTTCAACTTTCTTTACAACTCTGAGATTCTGAGACTTAGAATTTTGCAGGTTTAGCATCATTGCTTGTGAAAACATCATGCTTGGTAAAGCAGAGGGTCAGAGAAAAAGTGGAAGACCTTCACTGAGGTAGACTGACACAGTGGCTGCAACAATGGGCTCAAACGTAGCAACAATTGTGAGGATGGTGCAGGGCCAGGCAGCATTTCGTTCTGTTGTACATACGGTCACTAGGAGTCAGAACCAACTCGATGGCACCTAACGATGGCAACAGCAGCATCATCACTCCAAGGGGCCCTCGTGGCACGATGGTTAAGTGCTCATCTGCTAACAGAAAGGTCCGTGGTTCGAACCCACCAGCAGCTCCGTGGGAGAAAAGACCTGGCGATCTGCTTCCATGAAGATTAACGCCATGGAAACCCTATGGGGCAGCTCTCCTCTGTCCTGTAGGGTTGCTAGGAGTCAGAATCGACTAGATGGCACACAACAACAAGAAGCGTCACTCCAAAGACATAACATGTTTCATTCAAATAAGCCAATGTGGTTACCCTGAAACTAGGGGCATCGGGTTATTGTAAAATGCTTGGACCATCCACATTCTGAAGGAGAGAGAAAGCTGTTTTGCCTGGCTTCCCCTGGCCAGCATGAGCCTGTCATAGAGTGTTCCGTGTACTCGGAAGGCAGGCTGGGGCTTCTGTTCCCACCGTTCACCCATGAGAGGCTCTCAGCAACTCGCTGGGGGACAGACGGACGCTTGGCCAGGCCTCCAGCTGCCCCTTGGAAGGATGGGGTGAAGGTGACTGACTAATGGCCGGGCACACTTACATCTCACAGGAAACACACGGCCTTCCTTGACCTCCAAACCTTTACTGACCTTCTAATGTCTTGATTTCTAGATCCCAGTTCGCAATGCTTTTTACGTTTATTTTTGCCGTCGCACTCAGTCTTTACCAACCCTGAAAATATCCCTTAAAATCCCAGGAGAAGAGCACCTTAACATCAGGTCATATCTGATTTACAGGTATAGATGACTGTCTGTCCCAGTTAATGCCACACTAACTTTACAAGACTGAGCGAACGGTTCTACTTCCATTACTGTGTACTCAATATATAGCTACATTGTTTATATACTGGAAATAAACAAAATCCAAGGATATGGTTGATCTTAGTTTTAATAGAAACAGAAAATGCTCTTTCATAATTCATAATATTCAAGTTCTAATGGGCTAATGAATAATTTGGCAGCAGTAAGAGCTCTTCAGGGAACGAATCTGCCTGCTTTCAGAGCGTCCTTGTCTATTTTACCTCAGTTGCCAAAGCACCCAACAGTGCCATGTTCTGCACACCGTGGCTACCTGACCAAGGAGGGACAGAAAAGGCGTCTGTGCTCCTGATGGTCATTGCAGGTCATGATAAACAGGGTCTCTATGGTGGGAACCCAGAGTGGACTCTTTATAAAAACATCATCTGCTCCCAGGTTCTTCCAAACCATTAACAATTGTTTCATAGCAACGGAGGCCTTTAGGGCTAACTCTTGACTAATCCTTTGATGGAGGAGAAGGCTAAAGGATCCCTGAAACCACTCTAGGCAGATAAAGTCCCACCAGAGTCAGGCCAGGACCTGGAGCCAGTAAAGCCCTCCTGAAGGTTCTCGGGGCCCATTCAGTGGGTGACACCCTCACTTTTAACATTTTCTCTTACCGACTCTGCTACCAAGCAATAGCATTGACTTGACTTGAAATTTATTTTCTCTACCTTCCTATATTATCGTCTGCAGGGGTTGTTGATGAGCAACGAGATAATCATACACATGTTGTGGAGTCTGCAGGGGTTGCTAATGAGCAATGAGATAATCATGTAAGTGTTGTGTGAAGGAGCCTGACAGACAAATGTAGGGCCAACATTACTCAGAGTTCCCTCTGACCTTCATTTAATATGCAGATCTGAAATAATGTGACATGCATCAGTTTTCAAACCAAATGACAAATTTAATTTTATCCTGTATAAAATGTATTTTCTTTAAACACTTTCAAAAGGAACAAGTTGGGTGTAATCTCTAAGTAAAGTGAAACCTGGTGCCTGTAAAGGTTACTCAAGATAGGCAAATATAAACCACCCACGTCCCTGCAAGTACTGAAATGGAACACCCTATGCTACTAATTTTTTTTTTTGTCAAATACCTGGAGCTATGCTTAGACAGAGAAGCCCTGGTGGCGCAATGGTTAAGTGCTCGGCTGCTAACCAAAAGGTCAGTGGTTCGAACCCACCAGCCACTCCGAGGGAGAAAGATGTGGCAGTCAGCTTCTGTAAAGATTACAGCCTAGGAAACCCTATGGAGCAGTTCTACTCTGTCTTACAGGGTTGCTATGAGTCAGAATCAACCCCCTGGCACACAACAACATGCTTAGACTTTTTTTTAAGGATATTACTCATTATACAATTCCTTATCCATGCCATGAACTTTCATATGAAAATGTGTAATTTCACAATCAGATTCTAGTTAATAGTTAATATACATTTCCATTTTAAAAGAAAACGCTTTGAGCCTGTGTAGATGCCAGACAGCTCCAATGCCCTCCAGAATGGGCATGATGGCATGCTATAACAACTGCCACATATTCAGCACGCACACCTTCCATTCTCACAAGCCCCCACGGAGAAGGTGGGCCTCAATGTGGTCAATTCAATGGTCTAACAATAGTGATTAAACATTGAGACAGAGCCACACGGTCCCTTGAGTTTTTATATCATAATAGCAGCTAGTAACAGTAATAACGGTGGCGATGGTGGTTGCCGTTGAACACTCTGACTCGTGGCAACCGTACGCGTAACAGAAGGAAACATTGCCTGGCTCTGCCCCGTCTCCGTGACCTTTGTATGTTTGATTCCATTGTTGAGGCCACTGTGTCAATCCATCTCACTGAAGGTTCCCCTCGTTTTCACTGACCCTCCACTTTACCAAACATGATGTTCTTTTCTACCATTTGGTCTTTGTGATGTGTCCGAAGTAAGCAAGACAAAGTCTCACCATTCTCAGTTCTAAGGAGCATTCTGGTTGCATTTCTTCTGAGACTGATTTTTCATTATGCTGACAGTCCATGGTATATTCAATATTCTTCGCCAAAACCACAATTTAAAGGTATCAATTCTTCTTCTGTTTTCCTTATTCATTCTCCAGCTTTTGTGTACGTATGAGGTGACTAAAAATACCATGACTTGGGTCAGGCCCACCTTAGTCATTAAAGGGACATCTTTGCTTTTTGAAACTTTAGAGGTCTTTTGCAGCAGATTTGCCCAAAGCAATAACATATTTTTATGTAAATAACACAAGCCTTCTACATTTGTTTGCCAACAGCTCCCTCCCTCTCTTCCCCCATGAGGTGTTTTCACAGTAAGCGCACTATGCTAATTTTTTTATAGCAGCATGTAAAAAAATTGGCACAGCCAGCACTTAGGAAAATAGCTTGCGGTGGGGGGTGGGGGGGGAAGGCAGTTGGCAAACAAATGTAGGTGTGCACATTATTTGCATAAAAATGTGGTATGTTATTTGATTTCTTTTTTTTAAATTGTGCTTTAGGTGAAAGTTTACAGCTCACGTTAATTTCATTCAAAAATGTATACACATATTGTTTTGTGACATTAGCTGCAATCCCCACAACGTGACAGCACACTCCCCCTTTCCACCCCAGGTTCCCTGTGTCCATTTGACCAGTTCCCGTCCCTTCCTGCCTTCCCATTCTGCTTCTGGACTGGAGCTGCCCATTTGGTCTCGTAGATCTGATTGAACTAAGAAGCACGTTCCTCACGTGTATTATTTTTTGTTTTATAGTCCTGTTTAATCTTCATCTGAAGTGTGGGCTTCCGGAATGGTTTCAGTTCTGGGTTAACAGAGCATTATTTGATTTCTTGATTGCTGCTTCCATGGTGCTGATTATTGATCCAAGTAGGATGAAATCCTTGAAAACTTCAATTTTTTTCTCCATTTATCACCATGTTGTTTATTGGTCCAGTTGTGAGGATTTTTGCCTCCCTTATGTGTTGAGCTGTGATCCATAGTGAAGGCTGTAGCCTTTTACTTTTATCAGTAAGTGCTTCAAGTCCTCTTCATTTTCGGCAAGCAAGATTGTCTCTTCTGCATATTGCAGGTTGTTAATGAGTCCTCCTCCAATCCTGATGCCACGTTCGTCATATAATCCAGCTTCCCGGAATATTTTCCAGCATACAGATTAAACAAGTAAGGTGAAAAGATAATACCCTGCCCCACACCTTTTCCAGTCCTGAACCACGCAGTATCCCTTTGCTCAGTCTGAACGCCTGCCTCTTGATCCACGTACAGATGAGGAAGCTGCAGCACAGACAGGTTCAATAACCTGTCTAAGGTCACACAGCCAGTTATGTGGCAAAGCTGGGATTCAAATCTACGCCTCCTGGCTCCTGGGCCTACACTCTTGCCCCCTCTGTTCTCAGCTGGTACCCAGCGCCCGTGAAATCACAGGTGTACTTGGTGCCTTTTTAGCAGGCCTCCCCACCTGTGCTGAACTTCACCAAGTAGGCTGATTCAAGTTGAAGTTCACTCTCCCTGCCCCTGCAGGCTGCGTGAACCCGAACCAGGAGTGCTGAAGAACAGGAAGCTGGGCTTCCTCCCGGGTCCCTCAAAGTGCAATAGCATTCTGCATACACACACACACACACACACACACACACACACACAGACACACACAGACACACACAGACACACACAGACACACACAGACACACACACACAGACACACACAGACACACACACACAGACACACACACACACACACACACTCTACCCTGCCAACTGGAAATTCCTGAAGCTGGTATTTGAAACAAAAGAATCTGCTGAAGCCCTAAGGCACAGCTATGAAACGTTCCAGCTGCTGACTGATGTCTAAATAAGACTAAACAACTTAACATAGACCTCCAGGATTTTGCATCGTTCTCCAGTTTCTCATTTCAGATAAACACGTCTCTTCTACCCTGATTTCAACTCTTGGTTGCTGATTTTATTATCAAACATTTTAATATTACCAAACATTGTCTACTTACAAATGTTTCCCCAATTTGTACTCTAAAGGACAGCCTTGGCTCCAGCCAAAGCTTTTAAAAACAATGAAGGAAGTAAAACTGGTTTCTGCTTGCTCCTAATGCAAATAAACTAATAAGTCCATAATAGTTGTTGCTTTTCAAACTGACACTTTAATGATGATTTCTAATAGATTACCTTGAGTTGGAAGTAAAATACGAATCATCGTTGTCTTCACTGTACTTTTTTCTTGGTTTGGCCGTGATGGGCGTCTCCTGTTCTATGGTCTGCATGTCTGAAGTCACCGAATGGGAAATAGCACTTGAGAAAACAAAGAAGAAAACAGTTCATACAGACTTCTGCTTTCACCAAAGAATGAATTTTTAAATCTATACTCTGAACAAAAATCAATGAGTGGGGTTAAAACAGAAGCAACAAAAATAATCATTTTGGGAGTGTAAGTCTTTAACAACATCAAGCCTTTTGAGTATTGTTAGCTAAGAATACAGAACACAGACAACATATGTAGAGCTGTCTGTGGTGTCCGCTCCAGTATGTACTCAGGGACGAGTCCGTCCTGGCTTTTTTTTTCTGGGAGCCAAGTTTGGAATTTTTCATGCTCTGTTAAATATTATAGTAAAACAACACAATTAAAGAAACAAGGAATAACAAGAAAATGCTTCTAGAGTTGAAATTAGCCCAAGGAAAATACATTCATGATTAGCAAACTGGTCTAAATTCCGAAATCTAAGAGAATACAGACTCACATACCTTCTGCAATTCCCAAATCCCATGCCAAGTCTCTCTGATTCCACTGTTTTTTTGCCACTGATGTTCATCTTTTCATCTTTCTTCATCTGAATTTCGAGATCCTTATAGGCTAATCGCAGTGATGCAACCCTGTGAGACAAACCAAACCCGCCTTAATGTAGCTGTAACCGTGTTCTTAAGTTAAAATACAAAGCAAAATGAAACATGGAATGATACTTTTAGCTTTGTGCTTCTTTCTATAAATAACAATCATAAAGGTAAGCTGGCTTTTTTTTTTCTACTGGTCTTTTTAGAGTAGACACTCAAGACAATTGGAATGAGTTCACAGCCACTTTTGGGTTGCGGCTGAACCTACATTACTGTTCAGGTTTAGTCCATATTACCTGTCAGCACATAATAATAATTTACGTTACCTACTACTAGATAACAATATCACATAGACCTAGATTATTTCTATGTATGATAGTAACAATCAGAATCTTACTTGCATTAATATGTTATTACATTGCCACATTACAAGTGAAAAGTGCGAGGTAGTTCTCACCATTTGCTCTGATTTAAGATAACAATATATATAAATTTGACTTTACATATTTACAGATAAATTAAGTTGCAAAAGGATTCTTCAGTTTACAAAAGACATTCCCATAGGGTCTCTTTATGTAATCAAGCTTCCCAAGAGCATTTTAAATTGCACAGTCATTCATTGGCCAGTACTTTCTTCAGCACTACCAGTCAGTCACTGCTCATCTAGTTATCAAATACCTGTTCCGAATAATACACAAAAAGTGTTAAAAGATGTAGAAAACATTGTCCTGACTTTCAGATTTCTAAACGATGCCATAAATGCTTAATTTTTCATGACGAAAACTATGCCGATATGAGCAATAAGGGCAGCACTGTATCATGTAAGACAGCACCAACATTTCAGAGCATGCTACCTAATGAGGATTGCCAAGTTATTATTCACTTTATAACATTATGTAAAATATCACAGATTCTTCATGGGTAGTAACTAGAATGACAGCAGAGTTTCTTACTAGGAAAACGTCACCTTGCTTTCGCGACTTTCTTCCTTTAATGAGTTAAGCAGGACTTCTCTGGACTGTTTTAATTTGGCAGCTTATTTCTTTACTATCATTCCTACAGAACAGATTGTAGCAGTATACCCATTTTATTTCTCAGCAAATAAATAACACTCTTTCAAGTATAATTTTGGAGGAAAACACTAGATCTTGTTCACAATCGCTAGTAGGTATGACTGCCTCAACAGATTCTCCTGCAGAAGGTGAGTTCTGTTAGAAAGACAGATGGGAACATTTTACTTCCCAGGATGGCTGACCCGAGCCTGGGGCCATCACTCGCTAAAAGCATGTGCCTAGCAGTCAGGCTTGCTGCAGCGCCGCTCGGAGCACTAATGGTGTTCAAAAGTCAAAACCTCAGGTTTCTCAGCAGAAGCCCTTCCCGGCCCAGGCTTGAGGGAGGGATGAAGATCACACAAGCCGAGTCCGGTGCCTCTCTCAGAGAACAGATGGCACACCGCCTCGTCCCGCTCTTCCCACCACCTGATACACACAGCCAGGCTCTGAGGATGGCTGAGAAACTGCCAGAAGGCGAGGACCTGGGCACTGCATGGATGGTTTAGTTTCACAGTCTGATGGTACAAGGAACAATGCTGCCACCACTCCGACAGGGATCCCAATAGAGGGTTCCGGACCGAGCGGGAGAAAAATGAAGAACAGAGTTCATATTTACAAAAAAAGACCAGACCTGTTGGTCTGACAGAGACTGGAGGAACCCCCGGGACTGTGGTCCCCAGGCACCCTGCTAACTCAGAACTGAAGTCCACGTTTCAGCCCAAGATTGGACAGGCCTATAAAGCAGGCCCAGAACCAGGCAGTGTTTTGTTCTGCTGCGCTAAGGATCTCTACGAGTCAGAGCCACCCCAACAGCACCTAACAACAACATAAAACCAACGTGGCGCAGCGGTTAAGCCTTCGGCTGCTATCCAAAAGGTCGGCAGTTCGAATCCACCAGCCATTCCTCACTATGAGTCGGAATCGACTTGACAGCAATGATTTTTTTTGAAATAAACAATAACACATGTGAGGAACATGCTTCCTAGTTCAGTCAAGTATACAGGACCAAATAGGCAATACCTGCCCAAAAGCAAAGACCAGAAGGCAGGAAGGGACAGGAAAACTGGACGAATGGACATGGGGAACCCGGGGTGGAAAGGGAAAGGGGGAGAGTGCTGACACACTGGGGGGGGGGGCAGCCAACGTCACCAAACCATTTGTGTATAAGGGGATTTTTGAACGAGAAACTAAAAAAAAGAAGAGAAGCAATGCTGCTGCTGACTGAAGTAACGTCACTTATTTCCATTAAAAGAACCAACTGGCAGAAGAATAACATTCTCACGTCTTAAGAATAAAACATATGCAGCCTCTCCTGGCCTTCACAGCACTGGCTTGGTGACCTGAGCCGCAGTGGGTCTGAGCTGCAGCGACAGGGTCTAAGACATAGTGCCAAAGTTGTTCTGACCACCAGAAAAAGTGCAAGAAGCTGCCAAGTTGGGTCTCAAATCAAATTCATAAAAACTCATCCATTACATTTTGCCTTTATGATGTGTCAAGCAGCTCCTAATGAAAGACAAATGCAGGCTGGCATCGCTTCTAACATTAACACACTGATTCCGTATGTTTTCATACTTCCCTATGCACCTCACCCGCAGGAAGAAACCGCTGCTTCCCACAGTCTGTCTGTTTTGTTTCCATCAGGGCCCTGGGAAAACTCCAGGTGACTGAGCACCTACAGAGGAGCCCTCTACCACCACCATGAACAACTCAAGCGTGAGCAAACGGGACAGAACCCACTCCCAAACACCAAGAGAAGCCATCTGAACACTCAGTCGAACTCTTCCCTTTTTCCAGGGTTAAAAATCTAGCCTAGTAAGAGAAAATGAAGTGAAGTTTGTGACAAAGTAAATTTTACATAAAGCATATGTAACCTAAATACAGTTCCGTGCTGCCCCCTGTGTTCTGTGAGCTGAATGACAAGGAGCAGTGTCCCTCAATTTCAAACCATCTCGGCTTACCTTAGGAATTCCACTTAGCGAAGTGTCAGAATGAATATACTAAGAAATCATACTGACTGAGCACTTTCTATGTGCCAGGTGTTGTTCGAGGAACTTTACAGAGCATTACCTATGTTAACCTTCAAAACAATCTCAAAAAATAGGTACTATTATTTTCTTCTACTTACAGTCTGTAGCGGAGCCCTGGTGGTGCAGTGGTTAAGAGCTCAGGCTGCTAACCAAAAGGTTGGTGGTTCAGATCCACCAGCCGCTCCTTGGAAACCCTGTGGGGCAGTTCTACCCTGTCCTAAGGGGTTGCTATGAATTGACCCCATGGCAACAGATTTGGGTTTTCAGTCAGTAGTAACTCAAAACTGAAACTGTAACACACCCAAAAATAAGAGAAAATGCCAGATAAATTAAAAAAAAAAACACAGATGTAACAGAGGCACCCAAGGTGCCTTTTCTTTCTGTGTTGCACTTGCCCTTTCTACGCTCCTTGTGATTTTTTTTTATTTTGTTTATTGCTGTACTCTAAGTGAAAGTTTACATTTCAAGTTAGTCTCTCATAAAAAATGTACACATACATTGGTATGTGACCCTAGTTGCTCTCCCTATACTGTGACGGCACACTCCTCCTTTCCACCCCGGATTTCCCGTGTCCATTCAGCCAGCTCCTGACCCTCTCTGCCTTCTCATCTCGCCTCCGGACAGAAGCTGCCCACTTAGTCTCATGTAGCTACTTGAGCTAAGCAGCACACTCTTCACAAGCATCATTTTATGTCCCACAATCCAGTCCAATCTTTGTCTAAAGCGTTGGCCTCGGAAATTGTTTTAGTTCTGGGCTGACAGAGAGTCCAGGGGCAACGCTTTCCGGGGTTCCTCCAGTCTCAGTCAGACCATCAAGTCTGGTCTTTTTACCAGAATTTGAGTTTTGCAACCCACCTTTCACCTGTTCCATCAGGGACTCTCTGGTGTGCTCCCTGTCAGGGCGGTCACTGGTGTCCTTGTGATCTCTTATACCCAGTCACAGTCTCCAGATGGCCATATTTCCATTGTTTCCAGCACAAATGAAAACTTCTCACGAGCCTTAAATGACTACAGTCAGCCCTCATTATTCGCGGATTCCGTATTTGTGAATTTGCCTACTCAATAAATGTAACCCAAAATGAATACTCGAGGTGCTTTTGCAGTCATTCACAGACACGGGCAGAGTGAACAATCTGCACGCTCTGCCTTCTTGGTTCAGCTCTCATAGACTGTAAACAAGGATCCTTTTCTTCCCCCTGGTCCATTGGGCATCACGTTTTTCACATTTTTGTGCCTTTGCTGTTTCAAATGGCCCCCATGCGTACTGCTGAAGTGCTGTCTAGTGTTCCTACGTGCAAGGAGGCTGTGATGTGCCTTACGGAGAAAATATGCACGTTAGATAAACTTTGTTCAGGAATACGTTATAGGGCTGTTGCTGCGAGTTCATTGTCAATGAATCAACCAAAGCGAAACCAAACCCACTGCCATCAAGTAGATTCCGACTCATAGCGACCATACAGGACAGAGCAGAACTGCCCCATAGGGCTTCCAAGGAGTGACCGGTGGATTCAAACCACTGACCTTTTGGTTAGCAGCCAAGCTCTTAACCACTGCACCACTAGGGCTCTAATGAATCAACAATACATATTAAATAAGGTGTCTTTAAACAGAAACACATATGAAAGGTTATGTATTGACTGGTTGATGAAAATGTTGTGACCAGAGGCTCGCAGGAACCTAGCCCTGTATTTCCCCCAGGAACAATGATTCAGTATTTGCTAATTCAGTGTTCCTGGAACCTTTATACAACATAATTACCAGGATTAACAAGAATTAACTAATACAAAACCAGTTTCTTAACTGGCCTCCTGGATTCCAGTTTCTTCCCATTCTTTTTATCCTGGATATCACTACTGGGCTCACTGTCCTACACCCCCCTTCATCATGGCACTCCCTAAGGAGCTCTTTCTGCTTCTCAGATAACATGTAAAACTACCAGCCTGACTTTAAGGACCTTCATCGTCACTCCAACTTGTTCCATCCGGGCAGGCCCCCGGGGCAAACAGCAGAATTCCCTCTTCGTCCTCTTCGGCTCTTCCCCTTCCCCATCTCTCTGCCTAAGTCAGGCTCTGAGACGCCTTCAAGCTGCAGACTCAGAACCTAGGAGATGCCACCACAGCCTCCCACCACACATTTAGACTTCAGTCACCGAGTCCAGTGGGCTTCATGTTATAAATACTCTTCTTTCTACCACTAAGATAATTTCACATTCGAAAAATGTACCCTTTTAAAGAGTACGGTTCAGTGGTTTGTAGTACATTGACTACCTAATCCCAGAACATTTCATTACCCAATAAACACATCCCATACCCATGACTTGTCCTTCCCCCATCCCTCCTCCTCCAGCCCCTGGCAACCACTAGTATACTTCCAGTCTCTGTAAAACGTCTGTTGCCATTGAGTCAATTCCAGCTCCTAGTGACCCTATAGGACAGAGTAGAACTGCCCCATAGGATTTCCAAAGCTGTAAACCTTATGAAAGCAGATTGCCACACCTTTCTCCCGAGGAGCAGCTGGTAGGTTCGAACCACCTACCTGTTGGTTAGCAGCCAAGCACTTAGTCACTGCATTCTGTCTCTATATATTTGCCTATTTTGAACATTATATATATGGGATCAGACATTATATAGTCTTTTGTGTCTGGCATCTTTTGCTTAGCGTAATGTTTTCAAGGTTCATCCATGTTGTAGCATCTATCAGTACATTTCTTTTTATGGCTAAATAATATTCCACTGTATGGATAGACCACATCTGATAATCCAGTCATCAGTCAATGGACATTTGGGTTGTTTTCACTTTTTAGCTATCCTGAATTATGTTGCTATGAACACTTGTGTACTATACAAGTTTTTGTGTGCACACATTTCTCTTTGATATTATACCTAGGAGTGTAATTGCTTGGCATATGGTAACTCTTTAACATTTTGAAGAACTGCCAGACTGTTTTCCACAGCAGCTGCACCATTTTACATTCCCACCAACGATGAATGAGGGTTCCAATTTTCCACAACCTTGACAACACCTGTTATTGTCTTTTGGGTTATAGCCCTCCTAGTGGGTGTTAGAAGCCCTGGTGGCGCAGTGGTTAGGCACTCTCCTGCTAACCAGAAGGCTGGTGGTTCAAACCCGCCAGCCACTCTGCAGGAGAAAGATGTGGCAGTCTGCTTCGTAAGGACTACATCCTTGGAAACCCTGTCGTGTAGTTCTACTCTGTCTGTAGGGTCGCTGAGCCGGAACCAACTCTGCAATGGGTGTTTTGGTTAGTGGGTGTGAAGTGGGATCTCCTTGTGGTCTCACCTGGCATTTCTCAAGTGACTGATGATGGCGAGTATCTTTTCATGTGGAAATGCTTCTGTACACCAGCCTTTCTTTGCCTTCTCACTGACATCTCAGTCCTGCTCTCACAGCTCCAGCCAGAACTATTGCTCCTCTCTCTTGCTGCTAGTCTCCTTCCCTTCTAATCTTTTCTCCATGCCACTTCAATATTAGTTTTTTCCATAAAGCTAAATTTTGCACACGTGCACACACACACTTAAAAATAATAATTGGTTGACACTTGGAAAGCAAATCTCAGAGTTGTTGAATTAATAGTTTTCTTCACTGAAAATGTATTACTATAACTAAATTAAACTTACATTGATTCTTCCTTAGGTGCTGCCCGGGCCAGACGGTCCTCCTGTTCCTTCACCTTATCTACAGCTTGGGCTTGTTTTTCAATCTCATTGAAGTTCTTACTCGCCAGTTTCTGCGCTCCCAAACTTCCTTTTTTGGCCCCAAGCTAGAAGATACATAAGATTATATTCTACCCAAACTGTTTGAAAACGTTTGTAACACAGCTCACATCTACTGTGGTTTACTGCACGCCAGGCACTGTGCAAACACTTCACATGCGTTCTCTTGCTCGGTCCTCACAACTCTGTGAAGCTGGGATTATTGTCACCCCCAGTTTACAGAAGAGGAAACCGAAGCTCATGCAAGTTAAGTGACTTGGCCAAGATCACACAGTAAGTAAGTGACAAAGCCAGGATTGAAGCCCTAGCACCCGCCTCCAGAGCCCGTGCATTTCAACCCCTCGCTGTATCTGAAAGCTTACCAGACAGCCCATTCAGCCTCACAAAATGTTAGTGCATACAGAAATATAAGCATAGCTGAACTTCCCAGGGGGACTTTGTTAATGTATTTTTTTTTTTTTAGTGTTTTGCCATAGACTGAAGAAATGTTAAATATACTCGCCCTAAAAAACATTCACTAAGTATAACATTCACCTCAGTGAACAAAATATAACTCTTCATCAAAGCCACACTGATTATGATGTGGCTCAAAAGAAAAAATATAAATAAATAAAAATCAAATGCCAAAGGTGGCTTTCTTGAGCACAAGCTATTTTATAGCTGATACATCAAATATTTTATAAATAATACTCACTCCTTTTTTAGCTTGATTTGGTTTCTTTTTAATGATAGAAGAAACCTCTGCCAAAAAATAAAAATAAAAAAGTCAGATCAACAGAAATCATAAATAATTATTCTATTTTTAGTGTGGTCTTAAAAAAAATTCTAAGATACTGGACATTATTATTTAAAAGACTAGCACAGTTTCCACACTCGTTTGTCACCTAGAAGACTCCAGTCTATGAGTCTATTTTAGATTAACAGAACTTCACCAAGACAGGACTCAGACACTCTCCAGCTGTAATTCCGTGCAGTGTCCACACTCAGAGAGAACGTGTTTTTTGAACACCACCGTGAAGAGAAAAAAATGATCCGAGAGGGCAAGGCGGGAAGCCCAAGCTTAGTACTTTGTTGCTTTCTTGAGGAGCAATTTTTATGTATATTAAACTCACCAGTTAAAGTTATTTTATAACACATAACGCAGCGAGTGATGTGCTTTTTCACCTTCTCGTACAGATTTTATCATATTAACCAATAAGAAATATAAAAAACTCTATCATTTTATTATTAGTACTTTATAAATGACACAAAAATATATGATGCTTTTAGAGAAAGTTCCTTACAAATCATTTTCTGGGTAAATTTTTATCACAGGTAATATGTTCTGTTTTCAGAATTATGTTTAAGAGACCCAGCAAGAATAAACTCTTAATTTTTTTTTTTAAACAAAGAAAAGAATGTGTTTTAAGGGGAAAAGACATCATAAAACCTCAACCAACTAAGATTAAAATCTTTATACCTAGTGAGAGAATAACATCATTACGTCTCAAGGGTGAAAAAGACACCCACATCAACTCTTTCCATCACTTTCTTTTAGCTTTGTGTTGTCATAGTCACATAACCTGCTCCCAACCTCGTACCCGTCTAATACATGATGCGTATGTCCAGAACATTCCTAACACTTTAGTGATTTTCATCAAGATGGTTGCTTTCCAATTAATGCAACCCAATAAGCGCCAATTTCAAATTATAATTCCCTAATAGTGAAAAATTAAAGATTGAGTTCACTTCTTGTAAAATCAGAACAAGAAGAAAATGTTAAGAGTCCTTGAGTAAACAGGCCTGGTGAGGCTGCTCTGACCTCGGGTTTATGATGGGAACACAAAATCAGCCCAACATAAACCAGCAGATCAAAGGCATTGACAGCAATCGTAGGTAGGTATACAGGCTGCTGCATTTTACAGTCATCAAGGTGGCTAGAACTGAAGAGCATTTTTTGTTTAATAAAGTTTCCTTAATAGCTTTAGTCACGACGCTAGACTATTCTATAAATTATAAGACACCTAGGCCGAACTCATGGATGCAGCTCATTCTTTTCTTAATGAACTCACTCTTTAACTCAGAATACCTTTATTACCTAAAGCAGCCTTGGTTGCTGTATTCAGACCTTCCACACTTGGTCCTTGTTCTGGTCCACCTGCAAGTTAAGCACATGGATGTCAATGCAGGAACTAGACTTGCTGACTTGCTTCTGAAGATGTAACGCTCAGTACAACTTGTTCGATGCAAATACCCAATTCTGTCAGTGGTCATCTTTCTTTTTAGCTCCACATTATATTCTATCATTAGTAGAAGTCTCCTTTAAAAGTTCTTTAAAATAATTGACAACAGCAACTTGAAAGATTAGATAGGAAACTTAGGGGCAGTGAGTCTATGTTAATGGGGGAGGAACAACTCAGAAAAGGAGGGGGAGAATGGTTGCACAACTCAAATACAATCAATGTCACTGAATTGTACGTGTAGAAACTGCTGAAATGGTGTATGTTTTGCTGTGTATATTCTCAACAACAACAAAATAAATTTTTAAAAAATTTAAGTCCATTAAAATAGAAGTATATTTTATATACTTTTATATACTATAAAATAGAAGTATATCTAGTAGCTTTACATATAAAAATGTTACTGGTCTCTCTAACTAATATCACTTGGAATTCTACCTGATGATTTGGTGTTTGGAATTAACTTGTTCTGAGACACCTAGTTCGTATGTGGACTATACACCCAGTATTGGAGAAGAATATTGAATATACCATGGACTTCCAAAAGAATGAACCAATCTGTATTGAAAGAAGTGCAACCAGAATGCTCCTTGGAAGCAAGGATGGTGAGACTACGTCTCACATACTTTGGACATGTCAGGAAGGATCAATTCCTGGAGAAGGACATCATGCTTGGTAAAGTAGAGGGTTAGTGAAAAAGAGGAAGACTCTCAACAAGACAGACTGACACAGTGGCTGCCAACAGTGGGCTTAAGCGTAACAATGATTGTGAGGATGGCGCAGGACCAGGCAGTGTTTCGTTCTGTTGTACATGGGGTCACTATGAGTCAGAATCGACTCGACGGCACCTAACAACAACAAATGTCAATATGTGGAAACTCTAACATAGCAAGGATAGAAATCTAAATTTTCAGTTGCTAGGAAATCTGCCCTGTTTTCTAGTTTACCTAAAAAACGATCCTGGAGATTTCCATCACCCCGAAAAGTTCCCTCATGCCTCTCTGCAATCAATCTTCCCCACCCCAACCCCAGGCCCTGAGGAACCAGAGGTCTGCTTTCTGTCACTGTAGCTGAGTTTTACTGACACTATAATTTCACGTAAGTGAAATACACGCTAGGTGCTCTTTTTGTTTGGCTTCTTTTACTCGGCATACTGTTTCTGGGAGTCATTCCCGTTGCTGTATGTATCGGTAGTCATTTCTTTTTACTGTTAAGTGGTATTCCAGTGTGTGAATATACTACAGGTGGTTTACCCATGTACCCTTAGCAACATTTGTGTTGTTTCCAGTTTGGGATTATTATGAATAAAGCCATTATGAACATTTGTGAACAAGTCCTTTTTGGACATATGTTTTTGTTTCTCTTGAGTAAATACATAGGCGTGGAATTGCTGGGTTATATTGTAAACGTATGTGTAACTTTATGAGAAACTGTCACACTGTTTTCCAAAGTGGTTGCGCTGTTTTATATGTCCACCAGCAATGTATGAGAGTTCCAGTCACTCCACATCCTCACTAACACTTGGTACTGTCAGTCTTTGAAAATTTAGCTACGCTAAGCTCCCTGGGTGGTGCAAACGGTTAAGCGCTCAACTACTAGCCGAAAGACAGGCCTGGCAATCGGTTTCTGAAAGGTCACAGCCTTGAAAACCCTATGAAGCAGTTCTACTCTGCACACACGGGAGTTGCCATGAGTCAGACCTGACACAGCAGCAGCTGACAACAATGGAAGTGCAGTGGTTAGCTCATCGGGGTTTTGTCTGGCAACTTCCTATGAGTATGTGCTTATTAGCCATTTGGATATCTTTGGTTGAAAAGTATCTGTTCAAACCTTTTGTCCGTTTTTAACTGAGTTGTCTGTCTTCTTATTGTTCAACTGGAAGAGTTTTTTTTTTTTTTAATATATATATTCTGGATACAAGTTGTTTCTCATATAAATGCCGTAAGCAGTTTAATTTTAGCAATTCCAAGGTCCCTGAGTGGTGCACAGTGGATTACCTGCTATGGGCCAGGAACTGCTCTGGACCCTGGAAAGACATCAGAGAACAAGAGCATACACATGGATATTTCATGCTCCAGATTCTATTCGTGAAAGTTATTTTTTCTCTCTTTTTCACTTTGTAATCCTTAACCAAGACTGCACTGTGTCACCCAGAACTAACAGATGAAACCGGGGTAAAGCCTGGAAACAACAGGTGTCCCTACTTAGCAGCTGCATAAGAGAAATGCTGGCGGAGACCAGAGGACAGTGCTGTTGCAGGTGTGAAAGGACACGGAATTCTCAACGTTAAAATCTTTTAGAAGAAACCCTTCAGGAAAAGTGTTTAAAAGAATAACATCTTACTCTGTATTTAGTTATCATAGGTTTCTGCTAATAAAACAGACTCACTTATCTGGACTTTAGAGGTTAAATGTATCTCCTGTGACATGTACCCTTCAATCTCAAGGGCCTTTTATGCTATTAAGTTGTCACGGTAACAGCAGTCAAATTATCTTTTTTCTGTCCCTTATAAGATACATAATCCACAGTCACTGTAGCATGATTGTAGGAAATGAAAGGGCTGAAATCCAGTTAGAGGTTTGTATGTGTCTTCTCTGCAGGCATTTAAGGTCATGTGCATAAAAAATACAAGGTGACAAAATCGCAGGCTGTGAATCATACAAAATCAGACAAGCCAGAATTCTTTGCATATTAAGGAGACACGCCTTTTGTCTGTACGTGAATTGCAAATCTACCTCCCAGTTTATCATCTGTCTTGGCTTTAGAGTAATTTAAAGCAGAAATGCTAAATGTGCATATCATCAGATTTATTAATCTCTTCCTTTTACGAGGCTTGACTATGCACAGAAGGACCCCCCTACTCCAGGATTACAGAAAAGCTCACCCGTGTTTTCTTCTAGTATCACCACCTTTTCATGTTTTCTATTTAAAGCTCTGATCCACCTGAGTTTAGTCTGGTGTAAGGAGTAAGGAAGGAATTCTGCTTTGTTTTTGTTTTTTCCCAAAATGCTAGACAGTTGTCCCAACTCCGTTTATTGAATAATTCACTCTTCCCCACAGTGTGAAACGTCCCTATCCTGACTACTGACAGGCCTCCTCCTATAGCAGTAAAATGAGAAACAGGCATTCTAAAATCGGGAGTTTGCTGGAAACCTCGGACACTCCCACCTTTATGCCTGAAATTCAAGATAAAGGAAGTCACTGCTATTCTTTATTCTATTCTTGATGACTCCACTTTCAGATAAGGCTTAAAGCCTATCTCTTCTAGGAATCTTTCTTGATAAAGTATCACTTACTCTCCAACCCAGAAATTTTCAGTATCATACAGCCTGAAGGCTAGCGGACTATCTTGTCTTCCCCGTTACACTATGTTCCTCACAGCAGTTCTCGGCTCACTTTACATATGTGCTTCTTATGGTACCACACACCACGGGTTTACGGCACAGTTGCCAACAGTTACATTTTCGTTGTTAATTTTCAATAGCATTCTGGCTAGAAAAAAAGACATTCAGTTTTAAAACAGGAAGAGTTAACTTCTTGATCCATGTTATTCATATCATGTAAGTGATTTTTAAAAGTTAAGCAATAGATGGAGATATATTTACAATAAATATAATCCTACAATAAATAAAGTCACCAAATGCGAATCATTAGATATCAACTATTTATAGAACAGTTTTTTTCATTGAAAGCTTGTTTTCTGATTATAAAAGTAACATATACTCATTATAAAAATGCAACCACTTCAGAAATGTATCAAGCCGAAAGTCAAAACCCTCAGTAATTTCATTCTACAGTTATCCATCTGGTATGTTCCTTCCAGAATGTTTTCTCTGTGTGTATGTTTTTGCTTCTGTTTTTTACAAAAAGGAGATCATATTCCATGTTCAGTAATCTTTCCTCCCCGCGGTATCATCTATCACGGACATCTTTCACTGTCAACATACAAAGCTCTAATTTCTAGTTGCATAGCAGGCCACTGAACCACAGAATTGCATAATATGGAAGTTCTAAATACCCTACCTTCGTTATTTTCTGGAGTGGTGCCCATGGCCCTTGGCATCAAAGTAGATGGTTCTGCCTGTGCTGATGCCCATGCGGTGCCACTCACCTGAAGCAAGGTCATTGACAGACAAAGCAAGAAAGCAATCATAAAAAACAAATCAAAGCAGGGGGAAAAGCCAACAATTTCAATAGTCACCTTCTGAGTACCCGCCTGAGTGGGAAACCAAATCAAACGGAACCCAACCCGTTGCCATTGAGTAGATTCCGACTCATAGCAAACATATAGGACAGAGTAGAACTCCTCCACAAGGTTTCCAAGGAGCAGCTAGTGGATTTGAACTGTCGACCTTTTGGTTAGCAGACAAGCTCTTAACCACTATGCCCCCAGGGCTCCAATGTTAAAACATGTCTATTCTTAAATGTCTGTATCAATGCTCAAATTTCTTATTTTTCCTCTTTTTTAAAAAATAAAATTATTATTTTGCAATAATTTTAGACTTACAGGGAAGTTAAAAAGATAGTACAGGGGCATTTCCATATACCCGTCTTCACCCAGCTTCCCCTAATGTTAACACACCCATGGTACATTTGTCAAAATTAAGAAATTATCATTGGTACCATACTATTAATTAAACTCCAGACTTTATTTAGATTCCCCCAGTTTTTCCATGCATGTCCTTTTTCTATTCCAGGATCCAATCCAGGATCCCACAGTTGTCATGTCTGCTCTGGTCTGTGACAGTCTCTCAGCCTTTCCCTGTTGTTCATGACCTTGAAACTTCTGAAGAGTACTGGTCAGGTATTTTGTAGGCTGTCCCTCAATTGGGTTTGTCTGGTATTTTCTCATAATTAGACTGGGTTTTGGGGAAGAACACCACAGAGGGGAGGTGTCCTCATTGTATCATGTCAACATGACTTATCACTGGTGAAGTTAACTTTGGTCACCTGGTTAAGGGGGTGCCTCCCAGTTTTCTCCACTGAAAAGTTCCTATTTTTCCCTTTCCATACTCTAGCCTTGGGAAGTCCATCACTAAGTCCAGCTCACAATCAATGGGAGGGGAGTTAAACACCACCTCTTAAAGGAGGGAGTATCTATATACCGTTGTGTCATTGTCGCTGACTCATAGCTACCCCATGTCACAGAGACTGCCCCATAGGGTTTTCTTGGCTGTGATCTTTATGGGAGCAGAACGCCATAAAGATTTCTCCTGCGGAGCCACTGGGTGACTTTGAACCACCAACCTTTTGGGTTAGCCGCCATAATGCTTAAATCACTGCGCCACCAGGGATCTTATCTGTACACTATACATAAGATAACCCCAACCCTAGCCCATTTATATAGTTGTTTATTTAATCATTTGTTTATATCAGTATGCACTCATAAATATTTATTTTTTTATTCAGGTTATAATCCAGTACTATCATTATTTATTTTGTTGTTCAAATTGTTCCAGCTTTGATCATTGCGAGTACTTTCAAGTTGGTTCCTCAGTCCTTCTGACATACCCCCGCCACCACTTTTTTTTTTAAAGCACTTTCTTACTTGCTAGCACTACAAGATGCTCTAGGTTCATCTTATGTTTTCCTTGTCCCAATCCTAGAATATGCCATTTCTCCTGGTTTCCTTTTATTGGAGAAGGGTATGTAGGTACCAAGATCTGGGTGTTGAGTGTGCTTGTTGTTCTGAAGTGTCACTGCTTCTAGGCTCTCTCAGTAGACAGACCTAGTGTTGTATAGATTATATACATTTATATATATATGTATTTGTGTGTGCAGGTATGTACATAAAAACCATGTATTCACAAATATCTATAATTAGTTCTCTATCTGCAGCCCTGGTGGCACAGTTCTCTATCTGTGTGTGTATGTGTATATGCACCAAAATAAACATAAATTCATACTAAAATCTCCAATTCTAACCCATACCACAGTGTTCCTATTTCTCCTCTTTTTTTTTAGCCCATCATTTCTATTCCTAACATTTCTCAGCTGCTAATCATGGGTATTCTATATCTAGTTCTATGTTAAACAGTAGTAACAGATCACAATAGGATATAATCTATTACCTACTTCGAAAAAGTCTTATACACTCCATTATTTCCCATAAGACTCCTGTAGAAAGTGGGGATGACAACCCCCACATGGTGTTGTTGGCAGGATACCTGTCACAAGGAACACGCAGCACCTTACCAATACCTGCAAGTGCTCAACGTGATATTATTTTCCTCTTTACCTGATTACGTTTTCTAACATCTGACGAGCACATGATAACTGAATTTTCCATCATGGAAGGTTAGACAGCTAAACACCAGCCAAAACCCAGATTAGGAGCCAGAATGATTCTGAACCCTGTGCTTCTTGAACCCTGCCTACCTTCCCCACAGAGCTGTTCAGAGGATCAAACAAGATCATGTTATGTGGAAAGTATTTTATAACCAGCCGTGAGCTCATCAAATGTGAGTTACCACTACTACTAACAGCAAACAAAATTCCTTAGTGCCTGTATGCACACGCATACTGTACATAATTTAAGCATAGACAATACAACTCGGACATGCTGGAGTTCACAAACAGAATGTACTTAAGTGCGATGAAGGCACAAGCTCATGACATTAGAATCCAAAAACTAAGAACTGATAAGTAAGCTTTTAGGTTATTTTATCTAATTTTAATCTTTCATTACAAAATCCCTTCTGCTCAGGATTCTAACTAGGTGAACTGTACAAGAAGCATGCTCTCTCCTTTGTATGGAGGCTCAAACACAGGGAACAACTACCCAATAACAAGGTGATTTTTCCACGCCCTCCCCTCGCCTGTTGACACTGAGGGAGGATGCTGGGTCATTGGGCAGCCCAGAGAGGTCTTCCTCCCCTGCCGGCTGAATCACCCAGGCATTTGTTAACAATGCAAATTATCAGCCCCATCTGGCCCAAGGGCATCAATGGGCAGATGCAGGTGAGGTGGGGAGGGCATCGGGAATTGGATTGTTTGAAACTGAGGCAAACTTAAACTTGAGAACCACCTAACTAATTCATGGAATTTGGCCTCATTAGTTCAAAATGATAAAAATGAAAATTCTAAAATTTCTCTTTTACTAAGACTTCATGTGGGATCTGATTTGTGTTAAGCTTGTTGCTTTATTGGAATCAACAAATCAGCGAAACTGAAATACTTGAGGGTTAATACCTGGGTGGTGCAAACAGTTAACACACTGGACTGCTAATCAAAAGGTTAGAGGTTCGAGTCCACCCAGAGGTTTCTCAGAAGAAAGCCCTGGCAGTCTACTTCTGAGAAACCAGCCACTGAAAATCCTACGGAGCACAGTTCTACTCTGACACACATGGGGTCACCATGAGACAGAGTCAACTTGGCAGCAACGGGTAACTCTGTGCTAGACACTAAGGACTTTCACCTATGTCACTCATCCAGTTCTCATAACAGCCTTGAGATACGGTCTACGTTCACAGCTATGTAGGGACACTGAGATTCAAACCTCTATTAAAATTTGGGTTTTAAAAAAACCTGTCCACGTTTTTCATCAGTTCCACAGCTCTGAACTGAACTGTGGCAGACTGCTATTAATAATTTCAGATGGGCACGTGGCTTCCAGACTACATTTCCCAGCATGCCTTGGCTGCTAGGGATAGACACACGTCTATAATCTGGCCAGTAGATATGAGCAGCAGTGACGTGTTATCCTAGTCTTTTTCCACAAAAGGATGGGCGCGTGCTTCCCTGAATGTTTGTCCTCTTCCCACTGGCTGAACCAGAGCAGCCACTCTGGACCCTGAGACGGAAGCCACGTGTGGTGGACAGCAAAATCCCTCAGCCAGCCCTGGCCAGCCTACCTCTAAGCCTTTGGTGAGAAATTAACTTCTGAAAGGATAGTGAGAATAGCAGCACAACTGGAAGAAAGTAATCGATGTCACTGAATTATACATGTAGAAATTTTTGAAATGGTGCATCTTTGGCTATGTATATTTTCACCAAAAAAGAAAAAAGGTCCTCCAAAGTCGAGAAGGGAGAGTATTGACATGTTGTAGGGCTGTTAACCAATGTCATAAAACAATATGTGTACTGACTGTGTAATGAGAAACTATTTGTTCTGTAAACCTTCACCTAAAGTACAATTAAAAAAAAAAAGAAGGAAAGAAATTAACTTCTGTCTTGTTCAAGTAACTTAATTTTGAGGTTGTTTGTTACAGCAGCTTAGCCTCCTAACTGATACATTTTGAACACATACCCTCTATAAGTCTCAGAGTAAGTATACTTGAAAATTGTGTAAAGTGTAAATACTTACCTCAGGAGAAACATGAGAGGCAAAAAAGTCTTCCTCTTTTGGTGGCGGGGACAAGGATGGAACCACACAACTATCAAGCCACAGCTAGAACAAAAACACCAACAACGTTCAGCATGTCTCCTGACTACAAGGGCTTTCTTTCATACTCCTCCCTCCCCTCCTGGAGACCTGTTTGCTAAGGACTGGTATTTCCCATCATCATAGGAGCAGTAATACACCTGCAGAGGGCCTCTGAGCACACTGGAATAATATATCTAGCCAGTAACTTGTGCCTCCAAGCCTTAAGGAAGTTGAGTACCCCAGATCCACGAATCATTTCTGAAAAGAAAAGATCAAGGGCTTCCTATCTAAATACAGGTTCCAAAGTAGAAGGTTCAGGATAAAAACCACTGCGTCTACTGAAATGAACACGCCGCCTGAATGAGACCATCCAACACGCCCAGGACTCACATCAGTGCCGTGCTTTCGTGTTGCTTGGGAGGCGAGAGATTTGAGTTTCTCCCTGTACAGCTGGGCAGCACGGCTGTTGTACTTGGCGTTGGTGTCACTGGTGGTGCACCCGTGTTGATGGAAAAAGGAAGACTGCAGAAGGAAAGTAGGCGATTAATGGAAATAGCATATTGAATCTAACATGGTGACGGAAAATGGTACTTCATGTCCTACAAGGGCTATTTTTAAATACTAGTGAAAACCAAAATAATTTAATACTTTTTAAACATAAAAAGATTTAAAATAAAATTTTCCTTGCAGAAAGGGGGTTCTCTCCACAGATATAATAATATTTTGGTAAAACTGGATATAAAGCTGCATTATAAATGAAATAATTGGTCCTTTATCTCTCCATTAGACCACCTCTGTCATTCTCAAAGTTATTTTGGGAGAGGCCTTCCACTTAGGACTACTTTTAATTCATGAGACATCAATTTCAATTTGGATTCCACAAAATAAGAATTTTTGACAAACTGGTTAGGAGCTAGCCTAACATTTACCTTGTTCATCTTTAACGGGGACCACAACATAGGTAAGATGATAAAGCAAGTGTTTGAAACAATTACAAGAAACTACTTTCAAGCATCTCATCAGGATCCATGCATAGACACGAATTTTAGAATTGACAGCTAACTAAAGCAAGCCATCTAAAAACCGCGAGCGATGCTGACTTGATTGACAATGGGCTGTTTGTACTGAGTACCCAGTGGACCAGGTCCTGACCGAGTTCTTTGTGGGCCCATCTCATGAAATCCTCACTGCAACGCCCTCAGTCACTATTACTGTCTCCATTTTACAGATGGGAACACTGAAGCACAGGGAGGTTCAACAACTTGCCCAAGGTCACAGAGCTAGTGAGGGGCAGAGCTGGGATTAAAACTCAAGCAGTGGCTCCAAGCCCGCACCCACTGCTCCTCATGGGAGCTGACGGCCGCTGCCCTGACCTTGCCTGCCCGCTCCCCGCACCTCGCTGGCTTGCCATGAGAAAGCTGCTCTCTGGAGTTGGGTGGGGGACTCTGCAACCCTGGAAAGGCTTAGCTGTGATTTGGAAATAATATTGGAGTTATTATTCCCTGTCATTGAGCATAGAGAATGTGACCCAGGTGGAGCTGGACTCACAAGGACTCACAAGGACACATCAACTGGGCCCTGAGGTATAAAGACAGTAGCTAAGATAATCTTGGAAAATATCTTTTAGGGAAACTTTCACAAAAAGCTGATCAAACACATCATAAAAGACTTTCCACTCTTATCTTTTTCTAATAGCATTTAGTGAATAGAAATTTGTTGGACCAATGAAGACCCTCCTGACTGTTGTTACTGAAACCTGCACCAATGATTGTTAAGAAAGACAATTCAGAATGTAGGATCACGGTTTCTAGCCAATCTGAAAAGGCTAAGCTTTCAATGGTTTTGCCCATTTGTAATGTTAATATATACTGATGACTCTGTAATTGCGTGCTTGTCCGTTTTCCCATTCTTGCCTATTCTGTGATATTTTTTGGACTCGGGCAGACGTGGCTCTAGCAGCATGCTTGTCCGTTTTCCCACTTTTGTCTGTTCTGTGATATTTCCCTGGACTCGGGCAGACATGGCTCTGGCAGCACGGTTGCCCGCTTTCCACTTCTGCCCTTTTTGAATATATGCCGTATAAAACTTTCTTTTTGCTTTACTAGACTTTAAGATGTTTTTCCCCTACAACAGCTGTAAGGACAGAGAAATCAAATCCACAGTAGTGAGTTCAGGAATAGGTTCGTGAACATCATGATGATGGGTGAGGGTTTCTAATAAGATGCTTGAAACACTGACGGCACTTATTCTTAATAGAGGCAAAAACTGTTTCTTGGAAGGCAAAAAAAAACCTTAGATATCACAATGGTTTGTGGCCCTCTAAAGCTCATCCTTACCCAGCAAAACCTTATGCCTTAGTATTTACCTTCTCTCATTAGGGAGAAATTCAAGTTAATGTTAAAATAATTTAATTAATTCATTTTAATTTAATGAATATTTCCTGCTTAGGGGCAATAATGAAAAAAGTTGAGAAACAGTGATCTAAGGGAATATGATATTTTAGAAACTAACAGTTTACACTTACAACTTTAGTTTTCAATATTTAATAGATGCTAGACTTGTGATTTTTATTTGAAATGTATACAAATTTGACTTCTTATACTTTGAATGTTTAACGGCACGTTTAAGGGATTCCCATTTATTCAATCTATAATATTTTAACATTATAAATAGGGTGTAAGTTCTTTGGAAGGTTTTGCAGGCTAGATTTGTAAGGCTGCCAGTCTGGTGTTTGAAGGGTTTGAGAGAAGCATATCTATTTAATTTGTAAAGTTTAAGTTGTTTGAAGATCCTTAATTAGGTTTGTAAATAGGGCTAAGAGCATCCGGTCTTTTAAAATGATAAATTCACTGAAAATTTAAAAACAATTTTAACACAGAAATTACTAAGTTTATAAATTAATTTACAAGATTTGTATATTGTATTTGAGGATCTGAAGAAGAGTCTTTTGTTTAATTTGCAGATTTAATCAATTAAACACTCATTCAAACGCAAGCAGCTGTAAGCGTTTCCCTCTGAGCACAAAGATCACCCTTGGGTGTTACAAAAGCCCACTAAGAAGCCTCCTGCTTCCTCCATCTCATCACATCCTGCTTTTTCTTCAAAGCACTTACCACCGCCTACTCTTGTTTTTGTTCCTTTAGTTACTTTCTGACAGTCTCAGCCTGTAAGAGAGGACCTTGTTTGTCGTGCTTGGCACTGTATCCCCAGCACCTCGCCCACAGCTTCGCGTTTACTGGGGGTTTACTAAATAGTTGAATAAACAGGTCCAAGGCCCATCACGGGCTCTCTGTTATACCATCTTATACCGTTGGGCAGCGCACACCTACTTTGTAAGATTCCTGGGCTAGAAACTGCTTACATTTATAAAGCCAGTTACATATAAGCATTGAACTTCTGTACTAGCGTAACCAATATTTATACACAAGAAGGAAAAGGACAAGTCTGAGATGAACTTACTGCATTAGCATTTCCTCCAACTTGCATGCATCGCAACTGAAACCAAGACCAGTTAGAATCCAACTCTGTCGATCTAAACAGAAAGAACATTCTTAAGTGTTAATACTTTTCTTCCCCACAATTAAACCACTGAACTTTTATTTTTTATTTTATTGTTGTGCTTTAAGTGAACGTTTACAATTCAAGTTAGTCTCTCACACAAAAATTTATACATACATTGTTATGTGACCCTAGTTACTATCCCTATACTGTGACAGCACACTCCTCCTTTCCACCCCTGATTTCCCGTGTCCATTCAACCCACTCCTGACCCTCTGTGCCTTCTCATCTCACCTCTGCACAGGAGCTGCCCATTTAGTCTTATGTATCTACTTGAGCTAAGAAGCACACTCTTCACGAGTATCATTTTATGTCCCATACTCCGGTCTAATCTTTGTCTGAAGAGTTGGCCTTGGGAATGGTTTTAGTTATGGGTTGATGGAGAGTCTGGGGGCCACGTTTCTGGAGTTCCTCCAATCTCAGTCAGACCATTAAATCTATAAACCACTGAACTTTTGAGAACAATATTTGCTTGATCTTCAGGACCCTAGGGGACTCTAAGATTGTGTTAACAGGACACGTGCTTCTAGAACGCTAAGACTCCAGAGGAGATGACAGCTGGTGCGGGCAGCTCCTGGCTCCCCACCTTCCCCAGAGCTAACACTCACAGAGCCCCGAGGGCCCACTCTCCTGCGGGCAGCTCCTGGCTCCCCCACCTTCCCAAGAGCTAACGCTCACAGAGCCCTGGGCCCGCTCTCCTCCATGAATGACCAGAGGCAGGCCACACCAGGCAGGTCACACCAGGCAGACCAGGCCAGGCCACACCAGGCAGACCAGGCCCGACCAGCAGCACTTCTGCTGCCCTGACTCCAGTCAGCTGTCCCTTCTAGGGCACGCAGACATGACACACAGCTTGGTGGGGATGCTGTAACACCTGCCACCTCTTCGCCTTTCATTCTCACAGGTTATGTAAAATTTGGTCATGTGTCTCCACTCAAGATAGAGGTACTGTCAGGATTTTTCAGGTCAGCTATCCACTTGTCCAGTTTACTCACTAATAGGAGCCTGGAGGGTGCCCATACTCTTATCAGTAGGTGGATGGGACCTACCCTCAACATCATCATCGACAGGGAGGGGAGACAACTCAGGATTTAATGCTCCTGAAGTGACAACTGCAGGTACCTCCTGCCCCCGCCACACCTTATGCCCTACTGATCTCCAGTCTGAAATCAAACCAGAGCATGGTAAAGGCCGTAACCGCAGATGCCAACAGTGAAAATTTACCAGGTGATCACTGCAAGTGCAACATTGTTACAAGTCTTTACACTGAACGCACGAACGTGAATAAAACACACAGCTATTCTGTTATTCAATGACAGCTTGTCTCAGACTAAGGTAAAAGAATGTAAACATTTTAGAATGGGTATTGGTAGATTATCTTTACAAAAGTGGGCAAGGGAGAAAGAAAGGAAAAGAGGTGTCTGATCCACTAAAACTTTCCCTTGATGCTGCCCATCCACTTACTAATTTTAAGACTAGTGGCATCGTTTAATCTTTGTAAATGTTAGGAAGTTACTGTGAAGCCAAGGCTATCTTAAAATTAATAATAACACTAACACATAATGACAAACCCATTTCACAGTGATAAACAAAAAGTAAAAATAAAATCACGCTTTATAAGAAACAGGCTTCCCAAAGACAAAAAACACAAAACCTCCTTGAGAACTCAGAACTTCTGATTACCGAGCAAGATGATGAAACCATCCTTCATTTAGCAAATACTAGCTGTTCTGAAACCCTCTCTCTGAAAGCTCGTGCGTGGGCACCACTTTGCGTGGATCCCCAGGTTGTTACGTGCCCCCCACCTCCTCTACAATGGGCAAGTGGTCAACAACCATCTAGAGACGGACTGGAGAGAGTGCAAATCTCAACTCTGTCACTTACTCGCTGTGGGTCTGTGGAAAATTTACTTAACCTCTCCATGCCTTACTGTCGTCATTTGTAAAGTAGGGGTAATTACAGTATTATTTATTTCACTTTTGTAGAAATTAAATAAGCTAAGACCCTCAACAAGATGGACTGACACAGTGGCTGCAACAATGGGCTCAAGCATAGCAATGATTGTGAGGATGGCACAGGACAGAGCAGTGTTTCGTTCTGCTGTACACAGGGTCCACCACTCATCTGTCAGTTTGTCGTACGTGGTGGCTTGCATGTTGCTGTGATGCTGGAAGCTATGCTACCAGTATTTCAAATACCTGTAGGGTCTCTCCTGGTGGACAGGTTTCAGTGAGGATTCCAGACTAAGACAGGCTAGGAAGAAGGGGCTGGCAGTCTACTTCTGAAAAACTGGCCAGTGAAAACCTTAGGAATAGCGGCAGAACACTGTCCGATACAGTGCCATAAGATGAGCCCCTCAGGTGGGAAGGCACTCAGAATCTAAGACCAGGGAAGAGCTGCCTCCTTAAAGGAGGGTTGACCTTAATGATGTGGACGGAGTCAAGCTTTCAGGACCTTCATTTGCTGATGTGGCATGACTCAAAATGTCCATAGGGACACTGTGATTCAGAACTGACTCGACAGCACCTAACAACAATATCTGAAAGCGCTTAGAGCAGTGCTTCATCATAAGCTACAACTCTCACCATCACTAGCATCACCATGGCAACACTGTCACGCTGTGTGCACCGTAATTACTCACCTCTCTGCATCCTCCGCTAAGTGGTAAGGGCAGAGGGCAAGGGATGGCCTCCATCTTTCTCTTAAGTGCCTAGCACAGGGCCTGGCACAGAATGTTCCGACTCATAGCGACCCTGTGTACAACAGAGTGAAACACTGCCTGGTCCTGCGCCGTCCTCACAGTCATTGTTACGCTTGCACCTACTGCTGCGGCCCCTGTGTCACAGAATAGGTACTAAAATATGGGCTGAATTCAAGTATGTCTTAGAACTGAGGCCATAAGTATTCAGACTTGCTGATCTGCCCTAGAGGAGCCCTGGTGGCACGGTGGTTAAGTGCTTGGCTGCTAACCAAAAGGTCACCAGTTCAAACCCACTAGCCGCTATGTGGCAGTCTGCTTCTGTAAAAATTTACAGCCTTGGTAACCCCGTGGGGCGGTCCTACTTTGTCCTGTAGGATCACTATGAGTCAGATTTGACTCGGTGGCAATAGTTTTTTTTTTTTAATCTGCCTTACAACTTTTGGTCCTAAACTATCTTTAAAGAAAATAAACCCAAATGTTTCTCTCTCTCTATTTCTTAGAAGTGAAAGTAAAACTAAACCCCAGCTGCCCTTGAGCTGGGCTGACAGGGATGCTCGCTATCATAACGCTGGAGTTTCAGCACAAAACCGCCGATGATCCCGGACTCTGAAGAAGCACTGTCTCACCTCTGCGCTACAGTCAACCGTCAGAAGAACCTGAAGTGCTCACTGGCGCCCTTCCTGGAGAGGAGATGATCCAGCGGTAGGTCATTTCTTATCTTCCTTTAAACTCTGCCGAATTTTCCAACCAGAAGGAGGACTCCCACAGCGCTTTGTTTCCATCTCTTGTAGGGCACTTTACAGTCTATCTTATTTACGTGCATATTTAATCCTGTCCTGACCCCACCCTAACAAAATGAACGCAGGGACTAGATCCTACTCACCTTTAATAGCTCATGAGATACTTAAAGCTGAACTTGAGAAGAAACAGAGCGTAATGCTCAATCAAGGCAGACCTTTTTTTACTAGTTAAACTAAGCTATTATTCGGTTTTAAGATTACTTCAGGGGATATTTTTGGTTTATGGTTTAAAGATTATCTCAGGGCAACAGTTTCAGGGGTTTAGCCACCCTCCATGGCTCCAGAGTCTGGAGTCTATGAGAATTTGAAATTCTGTTCTGCATCTCCCCCTGAGAAACAGATACCACAGAAACTAACGGAAGGAGTTTCCAGCACTGAGAGGCAGTGGGCAGGAAGGCCACTTCCATGAGGCCTACTCTGGCAGTCAGCTCCCAAAGCAGTCTGCCATGTCTGTAGACTCCTAACCTGTCTTCCTATTTCTCCTTGGCAAAACCACAGCTTATATTTTTTCCTTTGTAAAATTATCAACTTGAAATTCTACTTAAAAAAAAACAAAAAACAAAAAAACCTTCCATTTAAATAAGCATATGATCCATGCCTCACAACGGGACCAATAAGCAACATCATGATAAATGGAGAAAATATTGAAGTTGTCAAGGATTTCATTTTACTTGGATCCACAATCAATGCCCATGGAAGCAGCAGTCAAGAAATCAAATGACATATTGCATTGGGCAAATCTGTTGCAAAAGACCTCTTTCAAGTGTTAGAAAACAAAGATGTCACCTTGAGGACTAAGGTGCACCTGACCCAAGCCACATTATTTTCAGTCACCTTATATGCACGTGAAAGCTGGACAATGAATAAGGAAAACCGAAGAAGAATTGACGCCTTTGAATTACGGTGTTGGCAAAGAATATTGAATATATCATGGACTTCCAGAAGAATGAACAAATCTGTCTTGGAAGAAGTACAATGCTCCTTAGAAGCAAGGATGGCAAGACTTCATCTCACATACTTTGGACATGTTATCAGGAGGGACTAGTCCCTGGAAAAGGACATCATGCTTGGTAAAGTACAGGGTCAGTGAAAGAGAGCAAGACCCTCAACGGAAGGATTGACACAGTGGCTGCAACAATGGGCTCAAGCATAACAACAACTGTAAGGACGGTGCAAGACCAAGCAGTGTTTCGTTCTGTTGTACACAGGGTCACTATGAGTCAGAACCAACTCGACAGCACCTAACAACAACAACATCATCCATGCCTTATTTATTCCTGGGAAATGGGCTTCATGTCCGTGTGTGGGTGTGGGTGTGTGTGTGTGTGTTGGGAGAGGCAGGAGAGTAAAGAGGGGGTGCTACAGTAGGGACTTTGACTTATTACTTTATATACTTTGAGACAGCTTCGATTTTTTTTTTCCCCAATAAGCTAGTGTGTGTCTGTTTGTTTTTTAAATCAATAAAATTGTTTAAAAAGCAGCCCTCCCCTGCAAACCACTTTCCTCATCCTTGACTTTCTCTTTGTCCAAATCCTAGACTGCTGCCCTCTGGCTGTACAGTAATTTTTAATACAGTTGTTTTTGAATAATTTATAAGCATTGTGATTCATATATTTATATTTATCTGACTTTTGAAAGGCCATGAACAAATCTGAAACAGCACCACACACACCCTGAAGTCCACCCTTGGCAGGTGCTTGGCCAATCCTTCCCTCAACCGTGGGACACGTCAGAAAACCACCTAACTTCCTGGAATGGCTTAAACAGGCAGTGTGCTTTAGTGGTGAGGAAAAGGGAGGACCAGATTATAAAGGGAGAGGCTGGGCAGAGAGGAAGAGGAAAAGAACACCGTGAAGAGAGAAAGGAAGAGAACCAAGTTATGTGCTGCCTCGGGTCCAGCTTCCATCAGCTCTGGGCAGAGTAGGTTACCCAACGTTAACTGGTAACAGTGGATCTGGGAAAAACAAAAGTACATTAAAAATAAACTTGCCGTGGCAAGAAAACCCCTCAACGCTTAGAAAGGAAACAAGGACAGGATAGTACATTAAAAATATTCTGGGGCCAGAGCATAAGAAAAGAGAAAAGATGAAAAGAAACTGACAGATACTCTGAAAGCAGTAAGAAGACACAAAACAACTCCCTTTTCTAAATAATGGTCTATGGGGTTGTATGACTTTAGATATTTAGCAGATCACGCTTTCACAAACTGATTTCTGGAAAAAGAACTCTATACATCAGGAGAGTTCTTTTTAATAAGTTAATACATTAAAAAAGAAAAGTATGCTGTTATCACTATATGGTTTTTGTGCTATCATACGAAACACCGCATTATGAATTATAATAGACTTTATTCTACGGAAGCAAATGCTCTCTTGTAATAATTATGTTGTATCAACATTCTTTAAGTCACGCTATAAAATTGCTCACCACAATTCCAAACAGCCTGCCTGGCTGGTCCCTTCCCTGGAAACAGACACGTCAGGGACACAGGTGACTGGCTGGAGGCGGCTGGCAGGAATGCAGGCCCGAGCCACGGCCGCTGAGTTGTACTGGAAGCTGACATAGGGAAGCCTTGCTCTGCTTCCAAGCCTTGAGTCTGGCAGGGGCTTCTTTTATTATTTCCATTTCTTTGACTTCACACAAAGGTACCGCCCACCTCCCACTGGCCTGTGGGGCTACGTCTGCCCCAGGTGGGGGGTGGGACACCTTTCTCTGATGGACATAAAGGCACCATATAGACTACTGCCCGAGTGCATCAGAAGTAGAAGACAATTTACTCTCCAGAAGGAACCAACGGCAGTCCAAATCTCAGGACGAAAAGTGAAGAAAGATCCTTACGTTTTATAAACATTTGAAACAGCCGCTAAAATTCATACAAAAATCATCTGCGATATTAGTGTCCTTGGAAGTCATAGCTGTAGGACTAAGCTGGAAGTGAACCCCTGTACACAGAGCTTTCCGCCATTTACATGAACTCTCCACCTCGATGGGGCGTAGGATGGACCCACAGTGCATGAGTTCCCTTCTACCACCAGTGAGTCCTAGCAAGACTCCTCAGTACTTCCAAATGATTAGACAATCACCAAAGGAAAGGAACACCTGTCTCCAAACTCTCCATTCTGACTTTCTTTTAGGTTTTCAACATCATTGCCTTTGTCTCAGATGCAGATCTCTATAAAATAATAACTAAATAGAAAATCATTCTTTTAATCACCTTAATTATATAAAGTTTCAGTTTCTGGAACTCATAATCAACCTCCCATTTTACTTGATGTCAAAGCAAATACACAGAGAAAAGGGGAGGGAGACCCATGCAACAATGCAGTCACTCCTCCCCCCGTACTTACCGGATAAAACTCAAGTGAACACCAAGGGATCGATGTGACCCTGAGCAATCGATGCAAAGAAACACCCCGTAGGTTATGCTTGCCCAGCTGGGATTTTTGGCACCACAATCAAAACATACCTGAAAGGAAAAACAATTCAGATATGAATACAGGTAGTCCCTGACTTATGACAGGTTCTGTTCCCAGGACTCCCATCGTAAGTCAGTTTTGATGTAAGTTGGATACTTTATTATCTTTTTTTTTAGTTTTCATTATTATTGCCGTTTATTATCAGTATCTTTATAAATCTGATCTTTATTTGTCTTAGGGGGTTGGAAACATTACATATAAACTTATAGATACATTTTAATACACACGTACATAAAAAAATTCACAAATCATTGGGGGAAAAAACGGACAGTTGTAAGTTCAGTTCGTCTTAACTTGAATATGTCGTAAGTCGGGGACCACCTGTGGTTTATATTAGCCAAGTGAGTTATCCTTTAGGTTACAATACATAACTTGGCTTGAAAGCTACTTAAAATTTACAATTTAAACTATAGTTCTTAGAAATATCTCACCTAGATAAGAAAAAAAAAATCCTCGAATTTCAATTTCTCTTATTACAATGCGTAGTGAAGGGAACTTAGGTTTGTATATCACCTCAGACATTACTTATCCTTGCAGCATCCGTAGGGATCCTACTAGTCACGTAAATGAACTCTCCATGTAGGCCCCGGGATCTCCCCCTGCTCGGAGGGCTCAAGGTCTTACTATCTACTCTAGACTGTGGCTCTAGACCAGATGGTAGGCACTGGTGCATACATTTTCTCTCCCAGCCAGAGGAGAAGGAGGGTGTGGCAGCCAGCATCCAAGATGGCCCCCAATGACCCCTGCCTCCCGGTATACACACCCTTGTGAAACTCCCCTCTCACTGTACCAGGTGGTCTGTGTGATCAATAGAATATGGCAGAAGTGCCAGCATGTCACTTCTGAGATTAGGTTATAAAAGACACTGTGGGTTCCTCTCTCCCTCCCTTGGCTCACTGGCTCTGGGGGAAGCCGGCTGCCATGTTTGGAAGATACTCGGGTGGCCCTTGTGGACAGGCTCAAGTAGCAAGAAACCGAGGCCCTCAGTCCAAAAGCCAGCAAGGAACCGAGGCCCTCAGTCCAAAAGCCAGCAAGGAACCGAGGCCCTCAGTCCAAAAGCCAGCAAGGAACTGAGGGCCACCACGTGAGTGAGCTTGGAAGGGGCTCCTCCAGCTCTCAGATGACTGCAGCCCTGGCCCACAGCTTGACAGTAACCTCATGAGAGACCCTAAGCCAAAGCCATCCAGCTAAGCCGCCTCAGATTCCTGACTCGCAGAACCTGGCTGAGATAATAAATGCTTGTTGTTTTAAGATGCTGTCTTGGGGTGATTTGAAACACAGCAATAGATAATACTGAGAGCTGCTCCTCTCTGAAACTCTGTGTCCTGCTCCACCTCTGCTCCTCCACTCTGCCCAGGCCACTTTCATGACTCTTAGACACACAGCTCACTACCCAGAAATGTGCTCCCTCCCCCACTGAGGGGAACTGAAAGCTCCTAGAGGGTCGGCAACATTTCCATTCACCTTGCTTTCCTTCTCTACCAGCACAGAGCCTGTACAAGGTTGGTAAATGCTCGGTAAATGTTTGCGGAATAGATTTATGTATTTTTTTTATCTCTCACAGGGCCTGAAAAGCAATGCCTACTCATCATAGGCACTCAGCAAATATTTGCTCATCAATGAACAACTTTCAAAACTTACTGCGAGTTCGAAAATTACCATTAGCCCCTTCAATACTGACTAAAGTCAAATATTCTTTATCTGATCACTGGACATAAAAGCAATTTAAAAATATACAGTGCTTGTCACAGAAATTAATATTTATAATTAATTAAGTTCAGAACAACAGAACTATAGAAATTCTACTAATGAGACAATTGGTTTTAATTTTTTAATTAAAATTTTTAATAATTTTCAGAAAAAGAATATGTTAGACACACTGTATAGGCAGACCCAGCGATGTGAAGGTTGTCCAAACTATAATCATCAAGAAAGATCTGGCTTCTGGCATTTTGAGGGAGCCCTGGTGGTGCAGTGGTTAAGAGCTCAGCTGCTAACCAAATGGTTGGCAGTTCAAATCCACCAGCTGCTCCTTGGAAACCCTATAGGGCAGCTCTACTCTGTCCCACAGGGTCGCTATGAGACAGAATTGACTCGACGGCAACAGGTTTCTGCCATTTTGAGGGCAACACAACAGAAAAAACATGAGTGGATTTTCCAAAGCCCCTCATCATGACAGGCTGGAATTAAGCATGCGAGATCAAGGGTAAGGGGGTGACAATTGACGTGAAAGGTGCCTGTCAATTCACCTCATGTTATTGTATTGTGTTTGTTATATTTTATTTTGTTGTTGTTGAGAATATACACAGCAGAACATGCACCAACAGTTTCTACATGTACAATTCAGTGACACTGATTACATTCTTGGAGTTGTGCGACTATTCTCACCCTCCTTTTCTGAGTTGGTTCTCCCCCATAACATAAACTCATTGCCTCTAAGGTTCCTGTCTAATCTTTCGAGTTACTGTTGTCAGTCTGATCCCATATAGACAGACCTTAAAAGAACACAAAGCACAAGGCCAGATATTCTTTACCAGTTAAGCTAAACTACTGTTTAGTTTCAAGAAGATTTCAGGGGATATTTTTGGTTGAAGGTTTAAAGATTATTTCAGAACAATAGTTTCGGGGGTTCATCCAGCCTCTATGGCTCCAGAAAGTCTGGCTTCCATGAGGGTTTGAAATTCTGTGCTACATTTCCCCACTTTAATCAGGATTCTTCCATAGAATCTTTGATCAGAATGTTCAGTAATGGTAGCCAGGCACCATCCAGCTCTTCTGGTCTCATGGCAGAGGAGGCAGTTGTTCACAGAGGCAATTAGCCACATATCCATATCCTCCTCCTGTTCCTGACTCTCCTTCTTCCTCTGTTGCTCCAGGTGAATAGAGACAAATTGTCATGCCCTTGACAGCTCATGTTTATCGATTGCCTGCTGTACAACAGGCACCATAACAGGTGTTGTGGTACAAGAAGTGCGAGAGGCTGTTTGCATTCCCTCTCTTACTCAACTACTGGTTATTGTGCGTACTGTATCTGGCACTGTGCCGGGCGCTGGACACACAAAGATGATTCAGAAGGAGTCTGCCCCAGGAAGCCCACAGTCTAGCAGTCTAGCAGGCAAGGCAATTAGTTATAAGATGGTATTGTAGTAAGCAAGGGTGGGATGCAAAAGGTTTTCTAGATGGGGTCCAAGAGGCATTTGAGCTCTCAAGAATAGGGTCTAAGGGATCACAGCAGAGGGTCCCAGACAGAGCAGGAGAAAAATGTAAAACAAAATTCTAACTCAAAAAAAAAAAGACCAGATGTACTGGCCTGACAGAGACTGGAGAAACCCCAAGAGTATGGCCTCCAGACACCCTTTTAGCCTAGTAATGAAGTCACTCCAGAGGTTCACCTTTTAGCCATAGATTAGACAGACCCATTGGACAAAACGAGACTAAAGGGGCACACCAGCCCAGGGGCAAGGATTAGAAGGCAGGAGGGGACAGGAAAGCTGGTAATGGGAAACCCAAGGTGGAGAAGGGGAGAGTACTGACATGTCATAGGGTTGTCAACCAATGCCATAAAACAATATATGTACTAACTGTTTAATGAGAAGCTCGTTTGTTCTATAAACCTTCATCTAAAGTTAAAAAAAAAAAAAAAAGAATAGGGTCTAAAAAGTTTGTAAGCGGCAAAAGAGCCTGGATGGGAAATGGTCGTGTGGACGGAGGGGACCAAGCAGAGGTCTGGTGAGCACAGCTCAGAACAGGCCAGTTTGAGAATCACTTCTGAGGACAGAGCAGTGGGGTTTCTCAATGGCAGCCTCTATCCTCCTGGCCCACCAGCTAAGATGAGGAACTGCTAGCATGTAGCTCCATGCAGGCAAGGACCCTATCTTGATCACCAGTTTGTCACCCGAGCATAGCACCTAGCCTGTCATACAGTAGGAACATGCTAAATACAAATACAAGAGGCGGGGCAGGTTGTACGGGTGGACGAGCGAGAGTACAGACTGAGACCTGTGGAAATTGAGGTCAGAAGGCCCTTAGAGATACAGGTCTGGTTCTCGCAAACTCCTGCTGGAGCGGAAGACTGCTTTGGGAGCAGGGAGCGTATTTTGTTTTGATAAGCAAGCCTTCACCAAAGTCAAACTACACTTTTCTGAAAATGAAGTAGAATATCAGCTCTTAGGGTGACAAAAAATAAATAGCTCTTGACTGACGATTTGCTTTGCATAATAATGAGAATAATAATCATTGTAGAAATAGTAATAGCTAGTATTGAGTGTAAGGAGCCCTGGTGGCACAGTTAAGTTCTCAGCCCCTCACAGAAAGGTTGGCGTTTTGAACCAATCCAGCAGCTCCAAGGGAGAAAAACCTGGCGATCTGCTCCCATAAAGATTACAGCCTAGGAAACTCTATCGGGCAGTTCTACTCTGTCACATGGGGTTGTTATGAGTTGGAACAGATTCAATGGCACCTAATAACAATAACAATACTGAGAGCTGACTCTTTGTCAGGCACTGTTCTTAGCACTTCAACCAATTTAGTCTTTACAACAGGCCTGTAAGAAGGTCCTATGATTATCCCCCCCAGGGCCAGCTTCCCAGGCATGCGCAGGCCCTATGTAGTCACACGGGGCCCAGTACTTAGAATTCTTAATAATTTTTTAATAAGGGGCCTGCATTTTCATTTTGCATTGGGCCCCACAAATTATGTAGCCAGTTCTGATTCCCATTTTAGAGAAAACTGAGGAATTGCAAAGTTAAGTAACACAGCTAAGAAGTGCCTCCAGAGCCCACCCTTTACCCTTCATTACACTGCCATTCTCAAGAAAGGTGATCCAACAGAATGCGGAAATTATCGAACAATATCATTAATATAACACACAAGTAAAATTTTGCTGAAGGTCATTCAAAAGTGGTTGCAGCAGTACATGAACAGGGAACTGCCAGAAATTCAAGCTAGGTTCAGAAGAGAACGTGGAACAAGGGAGATCGCTGCTGATGTCAGGTGGATCACAGCTAAAAGCAGAGAATACCAGAAAAATGTTTACCTGTGTTTTAATGATTATGCAAAGGCATTCGACCATGTGGATGATAACAAATTATGGATAACACTGCGAAGAATGGGAATTCCAGAACACTTAATTGTGCTCATGAGGAACCTGTACATAGACCAAGTGGCAGTCGTTCGAACAAAACAAGGGGACACTGTGTGGTTTAAAGTCAAGAATGGTGTGCGTCAGGGTTATATCCTTTCACCATACTTATTCAATCTGTATACTGAGCAAATAATTCCATAAGCTGGGCTACATGAAGAAGAATGTCAACACCCATGGAAGCGGCAGTCAAGAAATCAAATGACGTATGACATTGGGCAAATTTGCTATAAAAGACTTCTTTAAAGTGTTGAAAAGCAAAGACTTCACCTCGAGGACTAAGGTGTATCTGACTCAAGCCATGGTGTTTTCAATTGCCTCATATGCATGCGAAAGCTGGACAAGGAATGAGGAAGACAGAAGAAGAATTGAGGCCTTTGAATTATGGTGTTTGTGAAGCATACTGAATATACCAGGGACTGCCAGAAGAACGAACAAATCTGTCTTGGAAGAAGTACAGCCAGAACGCTCCTTAGAAGCAAGAATGGCGAGACTTCATCTCACATACTTTGGACATGTTATCAGGAGGAGCCAGTCCCTGGAGAAGGATATCATCCTAGGTAAAGTAGAGGGTCAGTGAAAAAGAGGAAGACCCTCCAAGAGATGGACTGACACAGTGGCTGCAACAATGGGCTCAAGCATAACAACAATTGTGAGGATGGCCCAGGACCAGGCAGTGTTTCGTTCTGTTGTACCTGGGGTCGCTATGAGTTGGAACAAACTCAACGGCACCTAACAACAGCAACAACACCACACCGCCTCTCACACACTGCCATGCATGCAGCCCTTCTGTGTCCTTCATCCTCTAGACTACCAGCTCCCTGATGGCAGGAGCCAGATCGTTTTCTTCATCAGTGTACCCTCAATGCTTTGCACAGTGCCCAGAACTCTCTAGGTGCTCCATGAATATTTGATGGATGAATAATCTAAGCAATCTATGTAAAACTACGGAAGACTATAGTGACAAGGAAGGATTGCACTAACTAAAAATCTGACACTTATGAGTTAAAATCTTTGATCCATAGTAAATATCCATCAGTACACCAGAGGAAGAAACTGGATACCATATTCTAAAAGTAACCCAAGTTGTTTTTCTTCAACTACCTTTCTTGTCTCATATATCTTAGAGCTCTTTTTCACCCTGTTAAAAAAACTGCTCATTGTTATGCAACTATTTCACATCTAAAACTAGTTTTCATCTTTATTTAGGCAATAGCTTCATACCAATGACCAAATAAAACATCTTTATCAAGAAATACAGCATATTATTGTAGAACATTACCAGGAAATATTTTTGCTCAATGCTTTTATTAATTCTATTGCAAAATAGTGGAGGGTCAGCAAAAAAGAATACCCTCTACAAGATGGATTGATACAGTGGCTGCAACAATGGGCTCAAGCATAACAATGATCATGAGGATGGTGCAAAACTGGGTAGTGTTTCGTTCTGTTGCACATAGGGTCGCTATGAGTCGGAACTGACTCGACAGCACCTAATGACAACAACAACAACACAACAACATTGAAAAATATAAATATTTTCATAAGTGTGTCCTTCATGGAGCCCTAGTGGCGCAGTGGTTAAGAGCTCTGCTGTTAAACAAAAGGTTAGCAGTTTGAATCCACCAGCCGCTCCTTGAAAACCCTATGGGGCAGTTCTGCTCTGCCCTATAGGGTCACTATGAGTCCTAATTGACTTGACAACAAGAAGTATGGGTTCTTCACTATAAAAATTATAACAAAACATAGCTCACATTTATTGATGTCTAATATATGCATTTGGACAATGAATAAAGAAGACAGAAGAACTGTTGCCTTTGAATTACGGTGTTGGCTAAGAATACTGAATATACCATGGACTGCCAGAAGAATGAACAAATCTGTCTTGGAAGAAGTACAGCCAGAATGCTCATTAGAAGTGAGGATGACAAGACTTCTTCTCACGTACTCCGGACACATTATCAGGAGGGACTAGTCCTTGGAGAAGGACATCATGCTTGGTAAAATAGAGGGTCAGTGAAAAAGAGGAAGACACTCAAGGAGATGGACTGACAAAGTGGCTGCAACAATGGGCTCAAACATGGCAACGATTGTGTGGATGGCGCAGGACCAGGCAGTGTTTCGTTCTGCTGTACACAGAGTTGCTGTGAGTCAGAACCGACTCAACAGCACCTAACAACGACAATATATGCAGGTAGGTCCCCAGATGGCACAAGCAGTTTGCACATGAGTACTAACCTAAAGGTTGGCAGTTCAAACCCACCCAGCAACACCACAGAAAAAAGGCCTGGCAATCTGCTTCTGTAAAGATGACAGCCAAGAAAACCCTATGGAGTAGTTCTACTCTGTAACACATGGGGTCACCATAAGTCTTAATCGGTTTGACGGCAACAAGTCGTTGTTATTGTTTTTTTCCATAGGCAGTTTCTGCTCTAAGTGCTTTTCTTGGATTATCTCACTTAATTCTCACAAGAACCCTTTGAGCTGCATCGAGCTCCTGCTCCCATTTTCAGATCAGGGAAATATGGTGACAGAGATAGAAAGAGGCAGAGTCCGCGTAATAGTTTACAAGCAAGTCCACACATGACCCTCCAAGAGTGTCTCTTGGTAGAAAGACACTGACTTTATATTTAGAAGGGGACACCCTCCTTTTGATGAACTCAGTCAAAGGGAGCACATGTTGATCTGTTTATGTGATAAAGATAACAGAAAAAATTCTAGTTTCTATAATGTTAAGTGCAGATCCTAATCTTGCCTAGTTATACAGTAACCACTCTTTATAAACAGATCAATTTGAAAATACCACAGAAACATAGCACTGGAATTTTCTCCTCCTGGCTTTCCTATATCTGGCAGACATCACCCCCAATAAACTGTTTCCCACCTCCCTCCTCTTAGGCTGTAAAACTATGAGTGCCCCTCCACTATCAAGTGGCCCTGGTGGGCAATGGTTAGGGGCTTGGCTGCTAATCAAAAGGTTGGTGGTTTGAATCCATCCAGCAGCTCCGCAGGAGAAAGATCTGGTGATATGCTTCCATAGAAATTACATCCTAAAAAACTCTATGGGGCAGTTCTACTCTGTAACACTTGGGGTCACTATGAGTCGGAATCAACTTGATGGCACCCAACCACCACCACCACCATAAAGACTTAAATGACACCACCTAAACTTTGTAAAACTCAGGGGTTTTCTACGCCATCATTTCCAGGCTCAGGACCAGGCTTGTTAACAGCTGTTCACTTTGGAGGTGGGTGTGGGGGTTCGGTAAAGGCCAGGGCCCTTGCATGCCCTGTGGACAGAGGGACAGAGCTCCTGTCAATGGAGGGGTGGAGAGTCCAGGCTGACAGGGCAGCCCTTTGCACTCCGAACTGCGATCCTCCATCCTCGGCTGAGGGTGTCACATTCTCCCGATGCGTCATCACACCTCCAGACAGTTGCAAAAAGTTGTCAAAGTTTTGTGGTTGGGGGTGGGGGGAGCACGGGGACAGGAAACAGCCTCTGAAGAAAAAAGAAAACCCCAATTTCCAAAGAGACTCAGAGAAAAGGAAAGGGTTTCTGATCAACTTAGCAAAAGAGAAAAAAGCTGGAAACCCTTGAAGAAACCACTCAGCAGCTTTGTCAGATAGGAAAAGTGACCAAGGCTACTACTAGGGGACAAAGGGACTCACCCAGGCTCCCACAGGATGGGGAGGGGGCTAGTCGAGCTTTCTCAAGCACCCGGCGCTGACAGGTTTTCTGAGGCTCGGGGTCACAGGCAGTCCCAGTGTCTAACCACAGCTGGGTCACAGGTGCCCCGTGATGTCTTCCCCCAGCCCTCTCTGGGAGGGGGGTCCCCAGGTAACCGGCCCCACTCTCAGGAGCCCCCCGGTGCTTGCCCCCCATGTGCTCACCCCCAGCCCTCTGAAGAACTCACACGTGACCACCCACCAGGAGCCCCCCTCCAGTATGCTCCCCGGCCCGGTGACAGGAACCCACAGGTGTCTGCTCCCACCCCAGGGGCGCCCAGGAGCCCCAGTGCCCGCCCCGCCCGGGGCCCGTGGGCATGCACCCCCTCCTAGGCCCTCCTTGGTCAAGGCAGGCGAGGCCCAGGCCGCCGCGGCCCCACAGTGCGACGTGTCACAGCCAGGCGGCTCCTCCTCCCCGCAGGGCCTCCCGCGAGGTCCGGCAGCGATGCCCGGCAGGCCTGAGTACGCTCGGCGGCCCTTACCTTGTTAGTGGGTACCGAGCGGAGGCGCTTGAAGATGGTCAGGATGTCCTGCTTGCTGGGGTCCCCCATTGTCACCAGAGAGCCGGGGTCCTGCTGGCTCCGCCAACTCGGAAAGGCGGAGGAGAAGCGGTTGCCGCCTCCTGGAGACCGACGACAGCCGAGGGGCGGGGTTGCGAGTGACGGCCAGACTCCGCCCCGGAAAGCCCCGCCCCGGCTCCGCCCACAAGCGAGGCGCACGCGCCGCTCTTCTTCCCTGCGGGCCCTCGCTTAGCGGGCCGCTGGCCCGCCCCCAAGTCCCGCCCCCGGCGCTACCCGCGCTTGCGCGTGGGGCTCGCGCGCCTACTCCCGCCTTCGCCCGCAGTAGCGCTCGCAGCTTCGCCTTTAGGTCGCTGGGGGCGGGGCTGGAGTAGGCAACTGCGACCGGCGCTGTTTGGGGTCGTTGCTCCTCATTCGACTGACGGAATGCTTCTACGGCCAAGGTCTTCTTACATCTTTCCCGCGAGGACAGCAGAACCAGGCACTTCAAACGACAAAGGAGGAAACTGAGACAAAGGGGCTCCCCGCCGTCCGTCTCCGCGCAAGACAGAGGACTGGAGCCCACCCGGACCGACGGATTTTCGATAGTCGCCTTGTTTTTTCCTTCCCTCAGCTAAGGCTGAAGGAGCCCTGGTGGTGCAAAGGTTAAGCGTTAGGCTACTAACTAAAAGGTCTGCGGTTGGAACCCGCCAGCGGCTCCGCGGGAGAAAGACCTGGCAATCTGCTTCTGTTAAGATTACAGTTTAGGAGACCCAGTGGGGCAGTTCTGCTTTGCCACATGGGGTCACTGTGAGTCACAATCTGCTCAACGGCACGTAACAACAATATCTAAGGCGGAGCCCTGGATGGGGAAGCTTTCCATCCTGGAAAATTGGTTTTCGTATAGTTTGGTTAATGGGTAGAATGTAGAGGAGAGAGCAGTCCTCACGGAGGCAAAAAGTACTCAGAACTGATGGGCGCTGACAAGAAAAGATGCTTGACTTTGAACCCCAGTGCCTCCTGGCCTGCAGGTTACCCTTTGGCTACCATTTCTAATTGTTAGCTGTGGTGGAGTTGCCCGAACTCGTGGTGACCCCATGCATGCACAACTGGGCCAGACCATTGTTGTCCATACGGTTTCACTGACTGATTTTCAGAAGCAGATGGCCAGGCCTTTCTTCCTAGCCTCTTAGTCTGGAAGCTCTGCTGAAACTTGTTTAGGATCATAGCATCCTGCAAGCCTCCACCGATAGATGGGTGGTGGCTGCACTTGAGGTGCATTGGCCAGGAACTGAACCGAGGTCTCCCAGATGGAAGTGAGAATTCTACCAGTGAACCACCAGTGCCCTAACTACAAGGGTGTAAACCCACAGAGAAGGTGCCTCTTTTATAATAGTGGGTGTGGAGCCACTAGAAAAATATTGCCTGGGGTTAAATGGTGCAGTAGAAGGATAACAGGTTTTGCAGTCAAATGTAATACCTTGGCTCTGATCCCAGCGCAGCCACTTTAGAATGCTGAAGCCTTGGTCAGGTCACTTCACTTCTCGGAACTTTAAAACACTCATCGATACGATGGGTTTAGAGCTGAAGAACCAGTGGTGAGCAGCACAGGAGGGCAGCTTTCCAGCAAAGCCCCAGAAAAGCCTTTAGCAGTGCTCTTTCCACTTTTAGAGGCTGGGAATATTTACTCAACTCAAGATGTCTAGTTAGGTATCCTCAGGAGAAGCTGGAAGCTTGCAGGGAATGTAGACTCATATAAACCCAGGTTTGGAACTTTTCCAAAGAAGGAAAATTTATTACCATCCAGAAGAGCAAACAACTTTTGCAAACAACTCTGTTAGAAAGATCTTCCTTACACTGAGTCAGAGTATATGTCTGCTGTACTTGGTGTCCGTTGGTACTGGTCTGGCCCTATACAGAACAAATCTATACCGTTTTCCACTCAACACGTTTATAAAGAACAGTCATATCCTTTCTAATGGGAAAGATGGTCCCATTTACTATTTGGAGCTGAAGTCTTCCTATTTACCAAGTGGTTAAGTGCTTGGCTGCTAACCGAAGGTCGGCGGTTCAAACCCCCAGCTGCTCCTCAGGAGAAAGATGTGGCAGTCTGCTTTCATAAAGAGTAGAGCCTTGGACAAGACAGTACACAATACTGGGGAAGCCAGCACAACTTGTACAAGGAAAGGTCATGGAAACTCCATAGACACATCCAAACTCCCTGAGGGACCGAATTGCTGGGTGGACGGCTGTGGGGACCATGGTCTAGGGGAACATCTAGCTCAGTTGGCATAACACAGTTTATAAAGACAGTGCTCTACATTCTCCCTTGGTGAGTAACGTCTGGGCTCTTAAAAGCCTGTGAGCGGCCGTGTAAGATACCCCACTGGTCTCACCCCTTCGGGAGCAAGGGAGAATGAAGAGAACAGGATACAAGGAAAAGATTAGTCCGAAGGACTAAT